GTTAATTTAAATTATATAATTGTTACATTTCGAATAAATATAAAAATCTCTTATTTTTTTTATAGAATTTAATTTATAAGTATATTTATTATACATATATGAATTTTTTAACATATTTTAAAAGAATTTTAAGATTAACTATCTAATAGTAACTTGGGGAGAAAAAGTCTGTATTTATAATTGCAGTCACAAAAATTCGTATTTTGTGTGTTCGGGGGGTCCTCAAAAATTTTAATACCATGAACAAGAAGTGGCAATCGGTTTATAGTAACTGCCGTTTAAAAATAAAATATACCATTTAAACATTATTATATAATAAACAAATTCCCATAGATAATTAAAATTTATTTACATATCAACTGATAAAAACAATTCTTTTCGTTCAGTTATAATTATATACACCAGTTTTCTTATATGTAACTTTGTAATAAACAAAAGATTACAAGTTTTACTATAAAATATAGTAGAAACAATTCGTAATAAAGAATTTAAATTTAACACAAAAGACTGAGATCAGAATTTATTTTTAAAAAATTCAGCTTTTAAAAAGGCACGTCGCTGGAACTTCAATTTTAGTCCAATCCTATACAAAGTAGCTCAACACTAAATGAACATCGTTTTTAATCGCCGAGTTCAAAATTAAATTTCTTTGATATACTCGTAGCGTTCGGTCTTTGTACATTTTATGAGTGAAATATAAAAAGAATAATACAATCGTACATGTCTAGCAATTAAAATTTCAATTACATTTTGTATAAAACTCTTATAGCTTTTACATTTGCGATTGTAAATTTTTTGTTAATTAACGGACGGAGAAATTTGTATGTAAAATTAAACATGATTTATTATTGTAAAATAAATTAACGTTGAAACAAATTATTTAATATAAATGGGTAATAATGTAAATAATATTGTAAATATTATATTTAAAATGTCTATAAGAAGCGATGTTTTCAACCCTAGTTGCATTATATTATTAGAGAGCGGACAAGGTCGATTGTGTCTCGGACGTCCTCCGCTTGTGTCTAGTTTCCTGCACTTATTGAACCGCAAATAACTATATAAAGAATGTTTTGTACCATTATAACAGCATGTATTTTTATATTAACATCTATCGTCGTATTGTTTTGTATTCAAACAGAAATATATATACTATCTTTGTATAATATACAAGCTATTTCACAAATCTTTCGTTGAATACAAGAAGCATTTATTTATACAAAGAAAAACTACGTATGTTAATACTTTTTACGTATTATAATCTCAACTCACCTTTATCATTTATTATCTATATATCCCTCAGTATTGCTGATTTTAGTATTTTTTCTTTGTAAAATATAAAGCGTAATTTAATTTTACACTTCCATAAATAACACTGTATTGCAATATATTCTGTGGGATATTAGGTTGACAGATGAACAACCCGTCTCATCCTGACGAAAGCCATTGTCTCGGATAATCGCTGTAACATAAAACCTTTTTTGAATGGCCATTCTAATTAATATAATACATCATATTAAATGTGACAACATACTCACTGAATATGACAATAAAACAATTTATAAGAGCACTAAAATCTCTCTATTGCTTAAATATTTTTTCTAATTTAAAATGAAAAAGAACATTTTACCCTCAATTTGGATCGCATTTCCAATACATATAAATTTGAAGGGGGAAGAGTGTTTGTTGAAATGAAAAACTTGACAAGCCTGAGGTCAGAAATCAAATCTCTACAGTTTGTTGTTTATTACTGGCATGACAACAGTCAAGGGGAGATGGGGACCATTTGTAATAATAATATGTAATATAGTATAGCTATGTCCAACACGATCTTTCAAATAATTTACGAGATTCAACTTCATACAAAAGTCGTTATTTGCATTATGAGTTAGTTATATTAAATGATGAAATAACAAATATTAGAATAATTAAGTTTATATATATTACTCAGTGACTTAAGATTAGTAATACTTTATAAAAAAATAAACTCCATATAAAAAATATATTTAAAAACGACAGAACAGTACTCACGTAATTTTATTCGATACAATGTTAATATAGCAAAGATGATTGAAAAATAATCAGTCTTATAATTTAAGTCAGTAGTTAGTAGCCATAGTGCACTCAAATGATATAATTTTGATAAATTTGATCTCATACATACATAATCTAAAATATCACAAATATTTCTGTCTTTAGTACTTTGTATGTAAGAACTTTTACTTACTGAGAATTTATCATGTAAGAAGAATTTTACTATGGAAGCTGGGATAATTCTTAGTAAAAATTGTTATGTACATATTTTGTTTTAACAACTCATATTATTTATGTTTTTAATATTTTTATTTAGAGAGAGACCATTATATTTGTAGTTCTATAAAAGAAATAGTCTATTGTATTATGTTAACATCTGTTTATGTTAACATCTGTTTATATCTATAAATTCATACATGATTATAAGTATCAAAGTAAAAGCAAATATACTGTTAACGTTATGTCTATTTTTTCAAAAAAACATTCTTTCTGTAAGTAATCTCATACAATTTACCGCTTTAAAATTCAATTTACGGTCAATAATTATAACATCACTTTAGAAAGAAAAATAATAACAAAATCTGTGCCTTATAAAAATAAAGATACAAGGCCATAAATAATATTATATTTATAAAAGTTTCGTTGTTTGTTTATCATCTTCCTAAGCCCCAGTGGATACACAACGGTTTTTGCATCAAGACAGTTGAAAAGTTATGAAGTAATATAAGTCACTTTTCATCCCCGGGAAATATATCTGTCGGGAAATTTCCCTTACAAAAGTTTTCCTTTACCCTGAATCAGTTTAAATAAGGAATAAGTCTTTTATATTTTATAAAAGTACGGAAAAAATATGATTGTATATGTTTTCCTATGTAAGTGATTGTCACTTTTTGATTTATACAACGATTTTTAAACGAATTTGTTAATTTAATTAAATTGCTACAGTATTTAAAAATAAACGTTGCTATACCGTGTCAAGTCTTAAATAAATAAAACGAAGAATCTCTAAAACAACCTTTAAACCGTGCTTGGATATAAAGCTATTATAAAAAAAATATTAACGAAACCTTACAGTAGATATACTCTTAATATCAAAAATATTCTCACTTTACCCTTAATATTATATTTATCTCAACCTTCCACTACTTGTATCCATAAAAATATTCATAAAATGAAATACATATGTATATACCGTTCTATATTTAATACGACAATTTTCTACCAACCACCTGACACCCCGAACGAATCTGATATTGCAAATACCGGTCTCTCACACCGATGTTGGAATAAAGACGAAGTATCTCCCAAAACTTTACATAAATCTTTTGTCCCACAAACCATATCTTGGATATAAAATTTGTAATATATTACCTTTACTAGTAATAAATTTAATAAATAGTAAAATATTATAAAATAGAATCTCCATTTTTATAGTGTTATATAAGAGTTTTGAAGCCATATTGAAATAATTATGCTTCCTAAGAGATTAAGACGGCCTGCTATATTTATCACTTACATAAACTAAACGCACAGTCTTAAACCCATTAATTTTAATTAGAATCAGTTATATAATGTGTCATCTGATAACATGAGTGAAGATTTATAACACATGTATTTTCAACATGGATATATGATATTAGAAAACATTAAACATATAAATGAAACTAATATTTTTCGGATATGCTACGCGTGTTTTTTTTGTAAAAAACTACATACTCCCGACGTTTCGGCTAGTTTTCGGTAACCGTGATCACGGGCAGACGAGATGCAGATTAAACACTTACTTTATACTCATAGTGTCTTTAAAAAATTAACTCGTTGGTCCACATGCCGTTTATATTTTTCACACCAATTACAATTTGTATTATTTCCAATAAATATATTGTCCAAAGGTTGGTTAGTCATAAAGAATTAATGCTTTCTTTTTCTTCTTCTTGGAAATTTCCCATCTTTAGCCAGGGTCTGCCTTGCATGTTCTAATAGTTTTTGGCTAATTGTTTTTACGACCGGCCGCCTGTCTGACATCAACCCTCTTTGGGAATTAATGAGAATTAATGTTTTATTTAACAGAATTGATAAAAATGCATAATCCAAGTTGACACAATCACACTATAAACAAAACGTTTCCCGTCCTTTATTCAATGACCTTCGTTAATACTATTTTGGTGAAAAAATTATTAAAGCTACGTATTCAGTACAAAAATTGTAACAATACTAAACATACTGTTACTATAATAATATAATTCGCTTCCGTATTAATATTATTCAATAAGCCAATTGTAATTTTTATAGTAGGTTTCATTACTGCGTCAATAATACTAGAGAACTCTTGAAATATATGATTATAGATGGAACAATTATGTGGTAATAACTGATAATAATTACAGGCAACTTTAATACAAGTACTTCTGTTATAAAGCCTTACACTGATTGTCAGAATGATGCTTGTTGAAGTATTATCGACCGATATTAGTTCTTATATTGCCTGACGTAGATTTGAGACACATCTGAAGACAGATCTTAAGATATTTATTATGATAATCACTTGACCAGCTGATTTCTCAATACTTAAAAAGAATTATACCAAGTTTTATAGCTCTTTGAAAGATTATGGTAATATTGAATTGGATTATGTAGTTATTTAAATTGATTATTTGTTTTACTTAGTAGAACCAATCTTTGATTAAAATCATATAAGTGTTCCTTCTTAATTATTACATTCATACATATCTACTTTATTCTTTTCTTTTCATTTATGCTTCTTTCCTCTTCTTAAATAAACAAAATATGTAAGTATGTCTCCAACTGGAGTCTTTATGATACGATCTAAATATTTTTTATGACAATTTACAAGAAAAAAATATGAAATGCTATCAATTTGAGTACTTTAAAAAAAAGTGTTATATTTTTTCCATTGTTAAAAAATATTTACGCACAACAATTTTCTATACTTGCATATGCATGCAATGCTACGTAGCGGGGCATTCTCAATTATATTATTACGTCTACGTCACGTGCTACGTCACCTCTACGAAGGCTACGCGCCGTATGAAGTGCAGTACGAACGTAGATCGACGCGTGAGCCTACGTCTGATATATGTGCAAGAAAATATTAAATTAAATAAAAAATCAATGGTAATTATTGTTTTATATTCAATAGAATAGAAGATTTTGTTATCATTATTTATGGTAATTGTATATATTTATTTTTAAAATATTATATATATAAAAATATATATTCTTTTATCAGATGGTGAATATATTCTTCAAAAATCCAAGGCCTATACTGCTGATTGTATGCTGCATGTTTATTCTGAGCGGTGAGTTAATTCTAATAAAAATACATTTTGATAGACACTTGTTTATTAACAATATTCGCTATGGAAATTGAATTTGTCAAATGATTAGACAAAGACTACTTAAATTAAAGTTTATTAAAGATAAGTAAGAAAATAAATAAATAAATTATACCGGATAAATTAAATTATATGTCTACTTAAAAGCATTTATAGTTCAAACAAATATAATACGATTCATTACTCAGATATCTTATATATCAATATGAAATACACATTTAATAATTAAAACCATTCCATAAATATACTTAATATAAAATATTTATACAAATATATGTATAATGAGTAACAAAGAGTAATTATATTATATGTGTAATTCTATTTTACATTTAATTTGCCTATATCTATTTAAAACTTGCTAAAATTCTTTATAGGCTGAGAGTCAAAAGTTATACTTTTCTATGTACATATATACATATGTGTCTGTGTGTGTGTGTGCGTGTGTGTGTGTGTGCGTGTGTGTGTGTGTGTGTATTCATTTAATACATTTACTTAGACCCTTAAAAGACTATGTGTTTGAACTTAGACATAAGAACTTTATGGATCAACTGATTTTATTACGTATTACCCAAACTAGCTTGACCTCTATATTAAACGTAAAGCTTTATAACGTTCCAAATATCCTTATTTAATATCAATAGCTTTGTCCTTAACATCAAAGATATGTTGAGTTTATTACTTGATTTATTTCTTTCATTTTATAGTCCGAAACATATTAATTATAACTTTATACTAAGAACTATGTGTAAAAGGAGTTTCGATGACTTTTTTAAGTGATAAAATAAAATTTTGTATGAATTTACGATAAATAAAAAAAAAAACTACTTTAGATTGCTTTCTTCTATTCTAAACTTTGTAACGTTTATACAACTAAGCCTTCTTCGATTTCGCACTTTGTGATAAATATTTAAACGTTACTTGTAACTGAATATATTATAATTCCAGCTACGTAACAGCTATATAAATTTGCATCCTATTGCTTTCCTTAGGTTTGGGTCATACAATAACATAAGCACCCACACATACGTACACGCTCGTACACACACACACACACACACACATACACGTACTCACTCGTACACACGTACATGTATGTACCCACACACACATACGCAAAAACACAAATATACAAACACACACATATGTATATACCATGATTTGCATTAACTATACTAATACGAACATTATGTTTTCAAATTATCTAACAAAAAAAAACTTTCAAAACTAACGTTAAAAACTATTTCATCAATGACGATGATATAAAATTAAAATCCCTGAAATTATATTTCTGTTAAGTCCGAACTCGATCGATGTCACGTTGAACAAATAAAAAAAAAATGTAACACACCTTTGTTGTCTATGACATAATACAATACAATTACCATTCATTATAAATGTCATTGATATTATCTATAATTATAATATATTACCGTTGAAAACAAACCATTTGTTAATTAGTTTGAATTATATGCGCTACTATAATATATAAATTTAATACAATAATGTGACAACAAAATGTATAACAAAAACATCTTCGACTTTCGTTGACATATTAAAAGCATATAAATAAACTTCAGTATGCTTTGAAGCTTTAACAGAAATTAAAAGCATTTACTCTTTAAATATTCAAAAACCAATTTAATTACTAACGGTAAAATTATTTGTGTTAACAGTATAAATTGCAGCGAAATTAAATAAAACTACGATTTACATTTTCATCAAATTATTATCTGTCTGGCCTTTCAGGCATATGCTGGTTCCCACAGAAAAGATATAAGAGACCATTCTTGCATCTCATTAGAGGGTTGTGTATAAATTATATATTAAATTTATTATAGCGTAATGACAGAAATGTTCTAGATGGCATTACAACAAAAGACATTTGCATTAGATTTTATTATTCGCATAAACGAGAAGCCGTTTTATATAAAGCGGAACGTCTTTGAATCCTTGACATTTAAATAATATGAAATGAAGCGGACTTACAGATACAAAAACATCAAATGGATTTTCTTTGTTTCACAGGAATACATTAATTAAACTTAATTTTTGAAAAGTAGATATATATACAGTAAACAAAACTTTTTTGTATTAACTATAACTTTTTTACCGATTCATAATAAGTCACTCAAAGCAAAACTCTGTTATTACGTATTGATTCGCTAAAACCTTTAATATTTAAACATCTTGTACCTTGTTAATGTGATGCAAATTATCGGTAAATGTAATTCCGTGGTCACTACTCTATAACTACTAGCCATTGAATATTAATTACAGACATGGAAATGACAAGTTGGATATTATTTATTAAATAAATTGAAATCAAATGAACATTTCCGAACGTTAATAAGACGCCATATTATTGAATCAATATATAAAGTAGGTCGTTATTTGAAAAAATACATTTTGAGGACAAAAAAAGATATGCATATATTATAATATATTTATTTGAGTATAGGAAAAGAGAAGAAATTTATTGATTAAAATAACTTAGCAAATACGGAATTTATTCATTCCGGATCTAATAAAATATTTACGGACACATGACAAATTTTTCATAGCAGTTCCAGCTACCCGACCTTACTTAATTTTATATTGCAATATATACTTAAAAAATAAGCTAGAAGACAATAAAAAAGCGACAATATTTATTGCTATAATGAATCACATTTTAAATTAAAAATGTGTGGAGTTTACAACACAAATAACAAAATTCATATACTTTTAATGCATTCTTTATTCAACATAAAAGCTATGGCAACAAAATTTATGGCTGGACGCTACGTGAGACGGCCACAGTGTATGAAACTAAAAATAATATAAAACATTTCATTCAACTGGAGATGAAATTCTAAACATATGGTTCCGCACGACAGATAATAAATATTTATAAGTTAAATATTTATATGTCCTATTTCTGCCGCTACAAGAAATAAGATGATCTTTCAAGCTCTTTCAAGCTGAGTTTCGATGCAAGCTCAGTAAAAAGTTCATACAACTTTTTTTAATGCTATGGCTTCATTCGCACTGGAATGTTGGAATATTTTGAAAATGTCAACGATTTATTTGTTGGACGACTTATAATCTTGTGTACTATGTGGAGGATATAATTAAATAAAATTTTTGTTTTTAATTTATTTTATTTTTATTAAAACACCCGAATTATGTATTTTAATCCGATGTCACCTCGTTTAGTCCTGTTTTTTATATTATTTTTTAAGATAACTCTAATTTTCGCTATCTAAATTGTGAACATCTATCAAAATTAATATATGACACACTAAGGAGGTATTTATCCATTACCAAGGATCTCCATAACGTTTATTATTCTTGGAAAAGTTCGTGTAATACATTTTCATAGCGCAATATCTCGCTATGGTAGTTGTATGAAATGTAATCGACAGATACCTACAGCTCTTAAATAAATAATCTCCATTCCAATGCAAGCTACTTGAATAAATAAAATAGCGTTCCTACATCCGCTAGGTGTTTCAAATAAAAAAAGGACCCTTGTAGTGGCATGGAATTTTCCTATTCAACAGATTGTTTGAAAATATTTTAGAAATACAAAATGTAGGAATTTGTATTGTTTCGTATCATGAGGACAAATAATAATTTGTTTATATTTTATACAAAATATTAATATTCTCAGTGAAAATCTGAATGGATGGATGTATGATTGTAACGGAATCACGAAAGATAGGCTAATGTAGTACATGTTTATTCCTATTTGTTTACAGTATTACTAAACTTGAGAAATTAGAACTTATTGTTATCTTGCAACATTCTGCAAATAGTATTTAAACTGGTAACACAGTTTGAAATTTTTGACCTTAAATAGAATTAATGTTTATATCTAATTAAATATAGAATACGTATCAATTTTTAAATTTAAACCTACTTAAAGGTGATATTAAAGAATTAAATTTCCTTTCCACAGAGACAGCGACAGTCAAAAGACTATGTTATTGGTGTGGTCCTCTCGCGGAACAAGTCAACAGATCTCCCCGCGCTCCGCCTTGCGACGCCTCCACTGAACCTATTATCACTGGATGTGAACCTGAGTTTCCATACTGCGCTGTTGTGGCTACTTCCCCGCGTAAGTATATGATTTGTAAACAAAAACTATTCTCATCTTTGCGTAAGTAGTACCCAAAAAGGAAAAAAACATTGTAATATCTCCGAAAGGATGCTGAAAGTTTTAGGTAGATCAAATTTTAAAAGTTTGAGATATGTTTCAAAAACTAATGCATTTGAGACATCCTTGGACTAAGTAATTAAGTTATTAAATGCACTCTAAATGTACTTAATTACGATGTACTGCATTTAGCTGTACTAGATACATTATTGGACAAAGGTTCAATTTATTACTATTAGAAGTTAGTCTCGATATCCTGTGTACTAATATACCAGAATTTAATTGGTATATCTACAAAACTATTATAGTTGTATCTACATTATAGGTATATATGTACAAAATATAAACTTTCAAACATGAAATAACCTTTATAAACCCATGAATATCTAATAATACGGAATAAATATTCAAATATAAATCAAAAGATATGCCATAAAGTTTTATTAGATAATATTTTATAAAACGTCTTCCATTAAGATTTTTATTTGTTTGAATTATTTATATAATCATAATTGTTATTTATATAACCGTAACCTTTACAATACACAGAATGATTGTCAATATAAAATGCTCATAAAGTGTTAGTTTCCGTTAATAAAAATAAACAACGCGTTCCTATGCGACCCACTGACCGACATTTATCCACTTACAGCTGAGTAGACGTTGATTGACATCAAGGCAAACTAATTTAACAACATCCAAACATATAAAATATAATTATAATACATACGAAAAATTCACGAGCCTAACAAAAACGTTTAGTTCAAGCCTATATACTTAAGAAAGTATTAACCTACTGAGGAACAAAAAAGGTCCATATTTCAGTTGAACGTCATCGAAAAACAGGCAATTAGACTAACGTCCTTCCACTGAGAGGTAACAATGATCACAAAACAGTCATTCCCACTTTTTTTCCTAGTTTTGAAAGCCGCTCGTCGAAACATTCTTAGCTGAGTTTTGGGCTTTTATGGCATCACCGATAATGGATGTTGTGTTCAAAAAACAGTTACATTTTTTAATAAACTTTCTCTTGAATTAAAAAAACACAGATAACACCTTGAAAAAAATTATATATTTTTTAATCGTGTTTAAAATAACGATACAGAGCCTAAGTGACGAAAAGACAGTTTACATACTTCAAATTAAAGGTACAAAACTGGACAATTTAATATTAAATAATTAAAAATCTTTAAACTGATAAAAAAATAGAATACCCTTATGATTTTTTTTTTGCTGCTAGGTAAAAACCGCTTTATTTAAACGAAACCACAATCTAAATTAATATGCAGATCCTGTCGGATGCAGGGAAATTGCTTGGCGATAGGCGAATCCATTAAGCTTAGGTCTTGAAGCTTGCATAAGAACAAAATTTAATTTGATACTCTAACAATATTGTAATGATTTTTTTGATGTAGACGAAAATATATAAAATGTACAGTACCTATTGTAAACCTACGTATAGTTTAAAGTTTCCTCACATCAATTTCGTGTTTTTGACATATCGGATTGTTAGTTATTTTCCTAAAAAATCATGCCCTTTTATAACTTAACAACAAAGTAAAATTAGTACAACAGAATAAAAAAAGGATTCATAATTAGATATCCTTTAATATACAAATATTTCATGCATTGTACTTTGTAAATATACAAATAACGATATGGTGTGTGTGAAAATGATTTTACCTACTTAATATTCATAATATTTAGCAACTGATTAATTTAAAAGGAAAAACGATCACTTGATCCTTTAAATATTAACGAGAAAGTTGTAAAATGTGTAATACCATAAAGAGAAATGTAGCGCCTTCTCACACATTCACCAGCTAGGTGGAATATAAATTCTTATGAGAATATCATTATGTACTTTTTCAAAAGAGCTACTCTATTAAATTTCTTTATTCTTTTTTTCCAGCATACGTGGAATCAAGACTATGTGTGAAACTCTATCAAGATGAATGTTATCCATTATTTTGCAATTCGACAAGAACCTGGAAGATGACGTGTCCATGCCGCGATGATTTGTGTAATGGAGCGAATACAGAAAGAGAGAATGAGGCCTTCACTATACTGGACAAGCTGGTAGCTAAAACTAAAACATCCCGCGTCAAAAGAACTGGAATAACCGCAGTACAATTTATACCATCTGGATCAGATAAAAACTAATATTGTCCATAACATATCGGTTTCTAACAACCTTCCCAACCAAATGACTGAAGAAAATAAAAATGACGGACATAGAACGCAAATTATAATTACAAATCAATCCACACAAGATGATTTAAACGTAAATTTGGAGAATAGTCTTACAACCATGGAACCAATAGATGAAGTTCAATCAACGAATACAGAGATTACAAATGTAGAAAAAGTTGTAGAAGACGACGAACATAAAATGGAGATATTACCAAATGATTTAATAAGCGACGAAATAATAAAAGTTGTAAGCAACCCCACGTCCATGGAAGCGATTGATTATATACCGTCAGCTACAGATGATAAAGTCGATAATATGTCTAATAGATTAAATAATGAAAAATTACCTACAGCAGAGGCCCTTCAGCAAAATACTACTCCTAAAGCAAACGAAATCACAACTCCCTCTTCTGTCGATGAAACATCAGATATGGCAACAGACGAAATAGAAATTACAACAGAAATATACTCCGACAAGAATTGCGCTAGCAACGCATTATACAAAAACTTCATTATGTGTCTGAACATCTGTGTTCTACTATATTATAAGTCACATTTTAATTAGATTCATAGAAAATTTGCAATAAAATGATCTCTTAGTTTTATATTTTTATGCGTGATCATTTTTTTATATAAATGTGATATTAAATTAGTCAAAATTTTAGGTTCGTAGTGTTGCCATGTATAGAATCTGCTTTAATAAAACTATAGTTGTGTTTTTAAATATTATTTTTTATTATGCGTCAAATAAAAGTCAATCAAAAGTAAAATCGTAGTGCTTTCCTATCTTTCTATTGCTCTCCTTAGTTTCTAGACTTTTTGTACCTTGTTCCATGGCTTCTCGTATGTCTGATTTGAAAGGTTTATCAGTTTTTCTATATTTAGCCTCAGGGCCATAATATTCGTATGTAGGTGGAGGGGCTATTTCTGCTTTATTACCATTAAATTTACTTTCAGGCTGTCTTTGTACATCTTCATCATCACTTAATTCATTGACAATAGGAGTCGGTTCGGTAGCTTTGATGAAATTTTTATATTTAACTACAGTTTCAGGTTTCTTGGTTGTAAAATATAACCCTTTGTTCGTATCATCGGTTATATCTGATATATTAGGCGGCGGCGGAGTTTTCACCGGTCTAACTTCGGACCAGGATTTCGTTTTATTATCGCTATCAATTTTTCTGCCTTCCTTGCTGAAGGTATACGTTGATTTTTCGCTTGTAGAGGTCTGTGGCGGTGCGAATTCGTTTATCCTCTTAGATCTCTGCTGTTCCACGTATTCTTCTTGGGACATTTCTCTGAATTTCTTTACATTACCCTGAACCCCGTCCTTCCCTACATCCCATTCTCGTATGTAAGCTTCACGAAACTTCTGTCTTTCTTCCTCCCTTTCTTTCTTAGCTTTCTCCTCTTCTTCCTTCGCTTTTTTGTCAGCTTCGTCCTTTTGTTGAGTGAGGAATTGTAAGAGGCATGTGGTAAAGTCTTTTTTCTTTTCTGAAACACAATTATATACATATGGTTATTACAACAATTTTTTAAAATAAAATCTGTAGAACTAGATACACTAGAATTCACTGAAATATTTATTACATTTATTACAAATATTTTTTTTACTTGAATCAATATGCATGAAAGCAAGATGACGTAAGGAGTATATGGACTACAATTATTAATTAATTATTTAGTATAAACATATATGGTAAATAACTGTTGTGAAACCTCTAGTCAGTGGTTTATTCTTTAACAAAAGTAGTCTTTGTAAAAGGCTCTAAAACTAATTAAACTCAAGAATACCTCGATTTTATACTAATCCTCGGTGAGATTAGCAAAGTTTTCATAGTATTTTAAAAACAATATGAATAAGTATGTATACAATAAAACATTTATAAAATTTAAGAGATAAATATACCAATAAAATAAGCAAATCCACAACTTTATCTTGTTGCTTATTTTTCACAATTCTATAAAGAAAAACTTAGACTCATTCATTTATTTGTCTAAAAAATGACTCAAGTCCTCAACATATCTTTATATATATAAAAATTTTGTGTCACGTGTTTGTCCGCGATGGAATCCTAAACTACTATTAACTGATTTTAAATTTGATAGCTTACATCTCAATTTATAGTCACAATATTATTTTATTGCAAACTAGTTTTTGCCCGCGACTTCGTCCGCGTTAGTTTGGTCAAGAGTAATATATGTAGGTATAGCTGACCAGGCGAACTCTATGCCGTCTTAGAGGCCATAAATAATCAGGTTTTTCCTGTTTCAATCAAACAGAATGATTAACATATTAGTTAGTTGTCAAATCTAATGTCAAAAAAAAACGTTTGTATGGGAAATAGAAAAGGGCTGTTTTTAGGGTTTTCCCGGCAATTATTCAAATTTTTCTCATCTTTTAAACCTTCCCTGGACTTCCAGGAGTATTTCAAGACTAAAATTAGCCAAATGGGTTCAGCCGTTTTCGAGTTTTAGCGAGACTAAGGAACAGCAATCCATTTTTATATATATAGAAGATAGAAGAAGAAGATTATTTGTCTATTAAAGAAAATTATTTGTCATTATTACAATTATCTGTTGACTGAGTTCAGTATTCAATAGATGGCGCTATGTTAAAAATACAAACGTCATATTATATGAGCGACTTTTTAATAATAGCATAACCACCACGTGTTTCTGAGGCTAAGGTATAACTTAAATTTATTTATTAAAAAAACGTAACAGATATCTCTTGATTATAGGGCGATACAAAGTTCGCCGGGTCATCTAATCTATACTAATATTATAAAGCTGAAGAGTTTGTTTGTTTGTTTGTTTGTTTGTTTGTTTGTTTGTTTGTTTGTTTGTTTGAAAGCGCTATTCTCCGAAACTACTGGTTCGAATTGAATAATTCTTTTTGTGTTGGATAGTCCAGTTATCGAGGAAGGCTGTAGGCTACATAACGTCACGCTACGACCTATAGGAGCAAAGATATAGTGGTAAATGTGTAAGAAACGGGAGAAATTATTTCATCTTTGAAGGCTTCCGTTGCGTGCGCCGTGAAAACGGTTCAAGATACACAAAAAATATGTATTAAAGAATAATAGCTCTTTTAATGATCTAAAAAACAGTCCGCGACAGTATATGTCTATCTTTTAAGATTAACTCACAAAAACCGTTTTTATGGTGCCTAATTTTGTCGACATATTTTAAGTTGTATCAAAATAATAATATTAATCTTTATTCATATAAACAAATAAATATGTTGTTGGTTAAGAGTACTTCATTATTAATTAAAAAAACATAGGTTTCATCCTGAAAATTCTACGGGAACTCTACCATTCCGAAAACCCCGCAAAAACGGGAACTATGTATGTGGGAAGAACCAAAAATCTGTCGGAAGTAACTATTCCACGCGGACGAAGCCGCGGCAAAAGCTAGTATAGAATATATTTCTATTAAGCTGAAAAAGTCAATACAATGAGTTATAATATTTTTACCTTCAGGATCTTCTGGTGGTAGCCCCGCCCTCATTCTCTGTCTCGCTCTAGCAGCCGCAACTCTAGCTGCTATCATATCATCTCTCTCTTTCCTAAGTTTCTCGGCTTGTTCCTGTGCCTTCAATGTTTCTTGCCTAGTCTTTATTAATTCTTCCATTTGTTTCTTTCGTTCCGTCTCATCTGTACTGAAGGAGTAGTAACCGACGCCGTGGATTCTTGCCTCTATAAATATTACAAACAAATGTCAATTAATTAAAAGTAATAATAAATATTTTAATATGGTATTATTCATCAAAAACACCATGTAAAAAATATATACCCCATGATTTTGAAATAAAGCATTAACAACTATGTAGATATAACGATAACTACATTTTAAAAATTATTTGCCAATATATTGTACTGAACAAATATTTTATGATGAAACATAGATTAAGTAGACTGCATTCACATCACATATAAATTATAATATTTAAGATTTTTCAAGTAAAATTTCTAATGCAACTTCCATTTCGGTTGCTTTAAGTTTTCAGAAATACAGGGGGGGGGAATAGAAAGGGACGAAGTTTGGGTAAATGTGTCAATTTTGTATTGTATACAATGTTTATAAAGTTTATCCTACAGAAAGAAATGATTTCAATAAACTTGATTTCCACCCCTTCCTATTTTCATTTCCACATTACGAAATTTCACTTAGGCAGAGACTACAAATACAATTTTTTTTATATTACATACCATCAAATAGTAAGTCCTGATAATGGATGTCTTTTTCTTTAGCCAACAACTCTCTTTCCTTTTCCTCCCATTTCTCTCTCAATGACTGGAGATAATCATTTGTTTTCTGAACTAATAATGGCTTTTCTACTTCTTTGGAACTCTGCTCCTAGAATATAAAATATAAAAACAATTCTATAACTACTCATAGCTCTTTAACTTTATTATATATTTTTCAAAGTGTATATTGATTATTAAATTGTACCCTACTATTATTAATTCCTATAAATCAATCAATTTCAGAATAAAACAGCTTATATTACTAAACATAAAGTTGTAAAATAGCTCAAATTAGTATATATTATATATTTATAGCAATGATTTTAGAAACATTATTTGTTAACATAATAATATGTAGATTTTAAACAAAATTAACCCAAAAGAACTAATACTAACTCATTTAAGCCTTTAATTGTAGGAATATATTAATAAATTATATATTGGCAAAAATTTTACATAACTTACTGTTGTATCAGATTTATCATCATTGGATTCATTGGTGACAATTTTCTTTAACTCCTGATCACGTCTTTGGTAATAATCCAAATCAGACTTAAGACATTTACGTGTCCTTCCCAAGAAGTCGGTAAACTCAATCCTGTATATGGCATATTAAAATTATTTTCTATTTAACCAAAACAAAATATAGTAGCAAAAATTCTACATAAAAACCTTACCATTCGCTTTCATTTTCTTCATGAAAAACATCTTCTTTTTCCTCTGCTTCATCTTGTTTTGGATGTTGTATGTTTTCTTGTTTTTTACCCTTAAAATCTACTAAGAATTGACCGGCAAGCTTTGAATCTCCTACACTGTCTGCTAAATGTTCATACAATTCAGCTTTCTTCTCTAAGGCAGCTCTATAAATAGATAAAATACATATTATAATCACAATTTGCAATAAGTATCAGATGAATTTAGATGGCCATGACAATATCCTGAATTATTAAGTTCATCTAACACTAAATCAAGGAATAGAGTTGTAGACAATCAAATTTATATTAATGGGTAAGAAAGATTTACTATATTGTAATTTTTTATAAATATTATGACTTTCATATACTATACAAAAAATACATAAAATATATTTTAATTTATAACACATACTTTGACTTCCTGCATGCTTCCAATTCATCAGTGTCAATAACTTTTAACTTGTCTTTTAAACTGGTTTTATTAGCCTCAGATTTGTTTTTCTTTTCACTAACAGAAGGCTTGAAATTCTGAACATTATGCTGAGGCAAATGTTTCTTCTCTAGAGCCTCCTCTTTTTTCTTCAGTAATTCTGCTTTCAAACTTAATAACTGCAATTAAATAATTTAATAATCATATAAATTAAAAACACAATACGCAAATAATAAATGACACTCACAATTGATTTATCAAAGAAAATCTCTTTTGAATTTTGTCCATTCATTTTATTTGTGTTTATAGAACGTTACAAAAATTCTTAGAAATTTCCGTCAATAATTTAAAATATGTGCTCAATCTCTTAAACTACTTTAACTCCCAATATCACAATGTTGGATACACTAAATGTATGAAATCCATACGCTCTTAAATTAAATTTCAAGCTAGCTTTACATTTTACAAACTAAATAAATAGAAATTGACAACTTCTTAGAAGGAAACATCTGTAAAATTGCTCATGTCAATAAAGTTGCTTATGGCTTTTTATAATCTGTTTAATATAAGAAACTTATAAGATAGAATATTCGTCCGATCAGAAGATTGATTATAATAGTCAGATCATATATCAATAATCAGATGCCGCTCATGTTTTAGATATATTTTCTTCTGTCAGCTAATAGATTTTTTTGTATGAAATTTTTACGAATTCATGTAATTTTTCCTTAATAATTAAATGATCGCAGGAAAGTGATTTAAAACCATTTCAAATTTTTTAATAATAAAAAAATGTATATGATAAAAATATTTATTTTTTTACTTGCATTTTTATGTTACAAACACAAATATATCATAGACAAAATAACATGTCTACCAACGGTACAATATAACTAATGACAGATTTTGTAGACTGACATCGCATCGCAGCAATCGCTGGTCATTTTTTTTTGCTAATTTCATGGTCAGTCTGACAACCCTTTCATTGGTAGTGACGAAGTCTTATTTAGCAAACAAAGAACTAAGTTAACATTAACTTCCCATGACTATATTTTATAATAAAACAAGCACATGAGTATACCCTTTAGAAACAAATTAATAGTTTACTTTGTGCAGTGACTAAGTGAGTGAAACAAGATGTCAACTCCTGCCAGAAGACGTCTGATGAGAGATTTTAAACGGTACCTATATTTGGCCTACTTTACATTGGAACTTTAATATTTGTAACAAATGCCGTAGCTGACAATGCTAATTCATTTGATGACATTATTGTCACCTTCATCGATTTCTACGCGATTCTACACTGCCCTAAAAGAACGCTTGCTTTAATTAAGCATCTCTTAGCACGGATGAAAAAAACGCGTTATGACATCATTGTTTTCTCTACTTATATCGAATTTACTTGTAAATGTTATTGATAATTCGTAATCTAACACGACAATTATTCATGTGTCTAATTAATTCCAGTCTCCAAGAGGATCCACCCACTGGTGTATCTGGGGCCCCCACTGATAATAATATAATGATCTGGAATGCTGTGATATTCGGCCCTCATGATACTCCATTCGAGGATGGCACCTTCAAGCTAACTATAGAGTTCACAGAGGAATATCCAAACAAACCACCAATAGTACGATTTGTATCTAAGATGTTTCATCCCAATGTGTATGCCGATGGTGGTATATGTTTAGACATTTTACAAAATAGATGGAGTCCAACATATGATGTGTCAGCTATTTTAACTTCTATACAGGTAAACTTACTTGCATTGTTTTAAACAATTAATATTCTTATGTACTGGAACAATATATTTACATTGTTTTCCAAAAGATACAATATTTCTTTTTTCAGTTACACAAATAATCAAATGACCTCATTTATATGATAAATAAGATTTCTTTGATGCATTGTGTGTTAATATTGCATAACATATATATTTTTTGTCATAATTGCAATATAAAACTAGGATACCAATTATAAGCTATTATAATATACATGAATCATTTTTATAATATTTCTTTACAGTCATTACTTAGTGACCCCAATCCGAACTCACCGGCCAACTCGATGGCTGCACAACTGTATAAAGAAAATCGAAGGGAATACGAGAAACGGGTTAAAGCATGTGTCGAACAGTCATTTATTGATTAGCAGTTGGCTTTTATCGACCCATGTCCATTGGACACACCAAAACCGGCTTACACCTCCATAGTCATTGGGATGTGTGTAAAATTATTATTATTAATTAACCACAAAGTGCATCATCACCAACTAAGGCATCAGGCAGTTACATTATATATTTAATTCTAATGCAAATAAACTTGTCACTTGTAGAGTAAAAATATTAACGGTAAACAATATAGAAGTTTGCATTGCAGTAACAATAGCTGTAGTTGAATACATATATTTATTTTGATTTTTGTTTTCAAAATCATTATTATTACAGCTAATATCAAATTAACTACTTAATATGTTGGAAAATTTGTGTTTCATTATTATAATAATATATTTGCTTCTTCCATAAAGGCTTTCATCATATAGCTAAACCACATTCTTTTATATTTCCTTATAACTTTTTTTTTGTTTCAAGTAATAATTACTGTTTACAAACAATAAAATTGTTTTTATTATCTATAATTGAAATAATAAACCTTTTTGGAACAATGTATAATTTATTTCAACTTAGGAATATAAAAGTGACAAAGCAGTTTATGTTAGACATTTTTTTTACAAAGGTTCTAAGACAACACTCGGTTGCAGACAGCAATGTGTTAAATGATTTTTTTAAATGTGAAATTGTTGATATGAATTAAATGCCGAATTAGTAGCCAAGTTCAACATTTTGAAGTAGGTGTGTGTGTATACTGTTTGTCTTTATAGTAAATATTATTTTTGGTTTTATTTGTGTTTTAATTGATGTTATTTTTTTTTTTATTCAACACTTTATTAAACCCTTTCCATCCCATTGAATGTTCAATTACAATGTATATTTTTATAAAGATATTAGATTCATGTTATTAATACTTATGTAGTTCTATCAAATTCTATCAATTAATATTATTAAATTGTAATTGTCTTATAATAATTCACTTATTAATTATTACATAAATAATACAAGTTATATTTCAACTGATAGGATTTCTTTGTAGTCTGCTTATTGTACAAAATGAAAAAATACAATAACTTTAAATCATCCAAGTACATTGTTTAAAAATTATATATATCAAGAGTACTTGAAATTGAAAAGGTGTTAAAATTATAACATAAATTTCCACCCTCATGACATCAACACTGGGCACTGAAATAAGAAAACTTTTTAGAAAATGTTTTATATAAGAGCTAGCAAACATTTTATAGAACATAAAAAATCAGTACAATAATTTCTATAAAATAAATTATTCATTTCTAAATTATGTTATATAATTTAGACAAATGAGCCTATTTAATAGACATTTTTGTTCCTCAATCACTTCAAATTAGCATATCATATACATACATGAGCTATGTTTATACATAGCTAAGACATACTTGGAAAATTTAATATCACAAGTGCAGGCTCCAACAAAAGAACATTGTTAATATCACCTTGTTTTTAAATCCTCTTTAACTTTGTACATCAAAAGTTCCATACACACTGTAGCATCCTCCGCACTGTCATGGCCATCAACCGAGTTCTGGATAATCTTCTTCAAATGCTCGGATGATAAATTTCTCAATGCTCTTTTGTATGGAGGACCCATTTTATGAGGAAATAGCACACTTGTATCGATTACTGTATCATGAATCAATTTTAGGGCTTTGAAATCAGATTCTAAACTATGGCCTATTAATATAGTTTTACTATTGAACATTGTAAGTAGTGTTGCTTGGACATCAAGAAGTGTAGTTTTAACATTGGCCATTTGTTCCTCGGTTATGCCAGAATACCTTGTGTTATAATCTATGATGGGATGGAGGGGTTTAATAAGTGTCTCATACACTACTTTACAGGCGCTATTGATTACTGTAACCCTTGTTAAATCTAGGCCTTGGGTAGTGTAACACATTTCGCAATCTAGTGAATAAACGCCATAATCGTCCATCACAGTCTCCGGCGGTAGTGTTTTAACATAACCTTTTAAGTTTTCAAAGTCTACATATTCATAAACATGAGTTGACGCTATACAACAACCATCAGATGACTCGTCTTGGCTGCAACATTGATATTTAACCTCACCCCGAAACCTGTATTTGTTATTGGGATGATAAATGCAATCTTGTTTTATAACAGGAAAACCTTTTTTGTCTACCGTATATTCTTGTTTACATCTACAACAAGTCCTTATAAAACCTTTAGGAGGTTTTTGTTTGTTTTGTCCATATATAATAGCTCTACCCTTCTCCCCGTTACTATGTGGTCTAGGAAAACCATTCTCTTTTAACTGCTCATCAGTTAATATCCACTTCTTAATATTGTTATACAAGTAAGCACCAACAAATTGTCTAGAGTCTTCAAAATTCTTTTTATGTTTATTTTCAATACTCCAGGAGCCAGCACTAGCTGCATTCGTAACTGTACCCTGTACAAGTTTAGCTCCTGAACTATCACTACCAGATTTCTTTACCCCATTGCATTCTATGACTTCCTTTTTCAATCTACTGATAGCAAGGACTGCTGAATTTTTATAAATAGGTACTGAAGAACACTTTTTGCTTGTTGTCAATTCTTCGTTTTGTGCCCTTGCATAAGCATCAGATGGTAGTAAATAAATATTCAAGCAATTATCTATCATCAAGTTTAAAAATGTTGATCTAATGTTAACTGGTATTTTTGATCCCAAAGGTTCAAGTACTCCTGGCCTATCTATAAACTTCTCACTGGGTAAGTGGGCAACTCTTTGAGCCCCCTTTTTCACTGTTTGTGTCACTGTACAGCTTGTCGAAGGATTATTATTTGATGCAGAGCTAGGTTTAGGGGGAATAATCTTTTTTGCAGTCAACATGGTTGATGCGTAAGGGACATGGGCTATTCTAATTTTGGAATGATTAGTTACAGGTGGTACAAATGGTTTTGAATCTGGTTTAGGATTGCTTGCAGGAGTAGTTGTTTCAGGTGCATTTTTAGCATGAAATTCTCTCACTTTAGCAAGTCGTTCTGCCATGGCTTGAGCTGCATTAAGTTTGAAATCTGGTCTTATTGGGGCTTTAGGAGTCACTCTGATATTTTTATCTACAGTTCTTGATACCCTTTTCTTTGATGGTATATACTCATCATTTTCTGTCATTGAAACATCAGGTTCATTGGGTTCATCTTTTGTTTCTGGTTTTTCAGTTGGAACATATTCCTCAAAAATTCTTTTACATTCTAAAGCAATATCATCTTCATCTGGCTCGGACACATCATCAATATCTTCAATGAGGTCTTCATATTTCTGGTCATCGTCTTCTGAATTGCTCTTCGTACTGTGCTTTTTATGTTTGTCTTTCTTGTCCTTAGATTCCTTAGAATGTTTATGTGTTTTATGGTGACTGTTATTACTTTTACTTTTCTTGCTATCTTTTTTATCACTAGAACTATGTTTAGAATGCCTCGATGAATCATTTCTTGAATGCTTTGAACTACTGCTTGAACTTTTCGAACTTGATCTTTTTTCTGACTTACTTTCACTGCTACTATGTCTCTTTTTATCGTGACTGGAACTTTTGTGGGAACTTTTCTTATCGGTACTAGAACTCCTGTGTTTACAGTCTTTTCCATTATGATCAGACTTTTCACTTTTTTCTTTCTTCTTAGTTTTATCTACTTTGTCAGGTTTCTTTTCAGATTTATCTTTATTAGATTTTTCTTTATCAATTTTATCAGTTTTACTATGACTTTTATTATCTTTTTCCTTATGACTACTATTTACTTCTAAACTCTTTTTATTCTCCTTACATTCTATTGAAGAATCATTTTTAAGATTATTGGAACTCTCTGATTTTTCTTCATCTAAAATTTGATCTAATATATCAAATTCTGGTCCTAATTCATCCAATCCATTAAGGTCAGTGGACAGTTTTCTTTTTTTAGTATCAGGTTCATCTTCATCACTAGAAAAACAAGGAACTAGCGATCTAGGTGTCGGTTGGTATGTCACAGAAGACGGTTGGCTTTTAACTTTGGTAGGTTTATATTCTAACAGTTTCTTCTTATTTACATTTTTATCTGAAGGTATATAGTTAACTTTGGAGTTTGAGTTCTGTGTTTCTTTTGGTGCGTATTCTTGTACTGCTATTTCAACACCTGGCAAATATTTTTCCTTTGATTCTGTTGAGCCTTGTGGTGAGTATGGATCTGGAGCACTTTCAGAACCTGGTGTGTATAAAAACTGGTGCTACATATGTAAGTTTTGAACTATTAGTATCAACAGGCCGCTTAATGGATAGGCTGGCCGGTTTTCGCGGCGTGTATGGCACTGGAATATGTCTTCGTTTTTGTTCATTGATTTCCTCACCGACTTCAGGTTCACTATTAATTTTGTTGAGTTCCGCTATTGGAGTGGGATTGTAAGTAACTTTCGACGAAGCTGGTAAGCATTGAACGCCTTCGGTTTCGAATGTATTGTTCGGCGACGACGATCCCGCTGCAGAGTCCGTTTGTTGAAGAACCTTTTGGACGGCAGCGGATACAAGCTTTAAAAGTGCATTTCCGCTCTCTATCCCGTCTCCAGAAATATTATTGGTTTCTTTTTTAACATGACGAAAATGACAATAGGGTCGTTCACAGATACCACTATCGTAGAAAGGACAATTTATTCCCTTAAAATATCCCGTCGATGGTAGCATTTTATTTTACTGATTGCTTATTCATAACAGTCGAGGGTTAAAGAGTATTTAACTAAAAGTTAAAACATACATAAATTTCAATTTGGTTGTTCTAATAACACCAAGCTTTGAGTGCATCACGACCAATGGCTGATACTTGATAGTTGATACATTTTATTTTTGGTCGTTAGAGATGTCATAATACATATGCCAGATAATAAAACACAGAGTATATTCTTGAACAGTGTTTGAAAAACAGACATACAATCTTTAAAAAAATAATAATATAAATATAATTACTTTACAATATGCATTTAAAATGTCATATAGTTTTATAACTATTTTATGTAAATATAAATTTATAGTTATAACACACTAAGCAGTCAAAATCAATAAAAGGTTTCTAGCGCACCTATTGATTGAAGGCTCTATTAGATACTTTTTACGATGCCACATGGGAGGGAACTATGTCATGGTTAAATTTATTACAAAATCGCCATTTCACAATAACAATGGATCAACTTGTGCAAAACTAACATAGGTTTAAAGTTTAAGTAGACATCCTTTAAAATGGAAATATTTTTGAAACTTACACATTTATGTCCCTTATCTTTTAATGCGTTGTCAAAACTTGTGACAGATGTGATTGATAAGATAGCAAGTGTTTTGGAATATTTATATCCCGATTTTGGTGTATAATTTACTAAAAATGTTAGCAGATACAGTCCAAGACTATGCTCAATACTTAAAAGTGGATCTGTCGAGTAATTTTCAAACAGTGCAAGATGTGATAGATAATATGATAACCAGGCTTGAAGAATTGAGTAGTGTTGTTCAAATGATAAAATTAAAAAATAACAACTGCACCACCTCCGTGACCGAAGATATTTGCCGAAACCGAAATGAAGTTACATTGTTATCCAAAAAAATTGTCACGCTAAGTGATGTTGTGCATAAGTTACAAGCCAACGTAGAAATTCTCGAGAAACGCGTAGAAAGAGCAGAATCTGATTTTGGAGTGCAATCTGATAATAAACTTATATATTTCTTCAAGCCATTCTTAAAACGAAAAGATGTCGGGATACCGAGTAATGCTCCACCAATTCCGCAAGAAAAAATTGTGTTTTCTAGTGTAATGGACAATTTTGAAACAAGTAATACATAATTTTTTTAAACATGTAAAGTTATATTACTAGTGTTTATTTACTTATCTCTTTAGATATGTCGTCGTTTTAATCATATATTTACTTTTATGTTATATTTCTGAATTTATTTTTATTTAGTTATTGAGTATGGTATAAGGAAAAGTAAAAAATGTATATCAATTAATGTATTTGAAAATTAAATAACATATTCGCAAAAGTGTTTATTAATACTGCCTTACATACAAATATCACATGAAAATTTATTGAATTCCCGTTGAACCGAATCCTCCTTCTGCTCTTTTACTTTCACTTAAATTCGAAACTTCTACTAAGTCTGGGTAATATATACGTTCACATATTAGTTGGGCAATTCTATCACCTTTGTTGACTTTGAAATCTTCATTTGAGTGGTTGAATAACACGACCCCGACATTGCCTCGGTAATCTTCATCAATAACACCAGCTGGAATAGAAAACATCATACACTTAAAATATTTATGCTTGTTATGCAAATACCATGAAAAGAATTACTAGTTTTTCACCAATTAAGAATATATTGAGATGAAAAATAAATATTTATGGCTAATGTATAAATCTTGGATAGGTAAGCGTAAAAATATCTGCTTAAAACATCTTCAAAATCTCCAAGATTTTAAACCTTTAAGTGTTGTACAATAATAACAATCAACAATAATTCATGAATTTTAATTTTCATTGGACAAAAATAGTTAATTTAGTTGAACTTTGCTTGAATGTTTAACATGATAGTAACTCTTCTTTAATAATAAAGAATGATAGATAAAAGAAATAATACTGGTACACAAGAAAAATGGTTACCTAATACTATTGTGATCTTTTTGACATTTTATTAATTAATAAAATATAAAAATATTTGAGTTGTGATCAGAATTATATTGATTGGAAAAAGGATCTTTCTAGACCACTTTGGCTTTTAGTTTATATTGAAAAGAATATTAATAATAACCAAATCATATGTAGTATTGGAAGTATATTAAAATCTATATTTCCTACTGTTTACTACTACTACCTGACTTATGATAACAGATATCTGTAGTTCTTCTGAGTAGTTTACAGAAAATTAATGTCTTGAATAACTCACCGCCAACATCAATAAAGTTTTTAACAGCTAATCCAGATCGAGGAGCCACTCTGCCATAGCATCCAGACGGCAATTCAATTTGTAAGTCAGTCTTAATCAGTTCCTTTCCACGAGCAGGTACAACATAGTCATAGGCACTAAAGTTACAAATATATTAAGTGTTAAATACATCTTACAATAACTTTATAAGTGTAACAACAAAACACATGTTGAAATAGTTTATTAATGGTTTATAAATATATGTGTATGCATTCGTACCTTTTTAAATCAAAACCGGCTGCTTTATCTGAGCCTTTCACAGGAGGGAATGCGTGTTCACTGATCCTGGTGAATTTCAGGACACTTTTGACTTCGGTAGGCATATTTACTGATATTAACTTCTTCAAGATCGACCACCTTAACAGAATTACAATTTGTAAGTTAATTGAAGATAAAAACAATTGAGTATTACTTACAAATATTAGAGTTAGAAATAGATTTAATCAAATCGAATTTCTAAATAGTATCACAAAAAACTGAGAAAAAGAGCTATGCTTACAGGGAAGCTATAATGTCACGAGTCTGTTAATGATTTAAATTTCAATAAATAACTGCAGTTGTGCAGTCTGCAAAGCACAAAGAGGCACGCTTAAAATGTAAAAGAATAACAATCTCGCGCCAAATATTAACGTTTCCGAATTTGTACAGATTATACTTATGTCGAACTTATTATATCTGTGATAGATTATTTAAAAATCGTTAAACTATTTTTAATATAACTTACATTTTATGTGTTTTTTTTAGTTAGCGATGTATTTTAATACTAAAAATTAAATTTGAAAGTTGTCTCGGAAAAAATAATAATCGACTCATTAAACAAGTGTTACATTAAATGTCAATTGACAAACTGCAAACAAAATTTCGTCCTCTTTGTGTTATAAAAGTTTATTGATTTTTTATGTATAGCACTGATTGTCAAACTTTATAGTATAAGTATCTGTTAATTAAACTTTTTAGAACGTTTAAAAAGAAATAAGCGTATGCCACAATTGATAAAATTAAATTGGAGTCTATATGTAACTCAATGAATTGACAGTAAGAATAGGTATGAAGGAAAGTTAGTGAGGTACTTCATAGATAATACGTATAGGTACATAAATAGAAAGTCTTTGTCTGTGACCCAATAGATGATTAGTTGGCATTAGAAAGGTAAATCAGGGTGTTGCTGTTTCCAAAAAGAATCTGAAGGGAATAATAATTTTTAGAAAATGATTTCAATTATTTAATATTAACGCATATAAAATATTTTTCAATAAATTAAATGACATTCTCAAAAAGTGACATTTTAAACTTCTTTATAACATGTTAAAATTTGTATTTTGACGGATACTGCGTAAAAATTATCTTGAAAAATGGTCGTAGTTGAAAGCAGTACAAAATAATATGAAATCAAGATATAGTAGAATTTAAAATGGACCGATGTTTTCCGATGCCTTTTATTACTACATTACATATTTTTTTATTTTATTACTTACACGATCGATGACCTTACAGCAACCATGATCACGGGTAGACGGTATGATAGAATTTAATTGTAAGTCTTTAAAGATGTAAACCTATAAGAAGAGATAAAGGGTATGGATATGTCCATTGGCAAATAAAATTAAGATGAAAAAAATGTTTTCAGTAATGGTTAGCGATAGAGAAGAGAGTAGGAGAGACAAATGTAGATAAAAACCATTGAAAAAGCTTTTAGGAGGTAGGACACTGAATACTAGTTTGATTTAATTGAATGTATTATATTTTATTTAATAACAAAACTCAACGGAACCAAATAATAGTTATAGTGTTATGGTGATCTCTTTGTGACATTGGTTGTCGAAATAAAGTCACTTCAATCACCCAGGTCTTAACAATTTACTGCAATATTAAGTACCTATTACATCTCTAAAGTGCTTTTTAGCTTGAAAAATAAAATGAATGCTACTTTAAACTAGCGAATGACCTATAAGATTCATGTACAAAATTTCAACCGTATCATAAAGCCAGTTGAAGTTTACTGGGGATAATGTTCTATTAAAATTAAAGAAAAACACTGATTACGGAGAAGGTCAATATTATTACATTTTTAATTAAAGGAACTGAAAATGTTACGTAATTAAAAAAATTGTGTTAAAACAACATTTGCTAAACTTTCCACTTAAACTATAAAATTAATCATAGTAGAGCTATAAAAATATATTTTATATACCTTTCTTAGTAATATTAAGAAACAAAATAACTACGTATGTATTTAAAATTTACTTTTTTTTTAAATTTATTACTCCAATTAAGACATATGATTTATATTCTCAGACTTGTTTTGTTTTCAGTCAAATAATCGCATTAAATAAGATAAGATTGACAACTGGTGTAATAAAAACATTTTTATTATACTAAAAAAGCAAGAAAAATTATTTCAACGTTTAATAAAAGGTTAAATTAATCGAAAATAGCGCTTGTATATAGAGTTCATATTCTTATCAGAAAACTGTCATTTTTCAATTCAATCATATATTTTTCATAACTTGCACATACGTATTTTGAAATCTCTAGCAAGCTATCATGATACAATGAAATAAATATAAACATTAAACAGTATCGGCTTTCAGTGTTTTTAAAACAGAATATATTTTTAAAGAAATTGGCTAACAAGTAATAATCCCTAAACAAAAGTATCTATGATCAAGTTCTTTTTATCTTCTATTTTAATATAATTACGTTACGTATGAAGATGGCTATAAAGCAACAAGACGTAAAGCAGAAATATATATATTTATAAAATTAAAAATATATATATTTTTTAATTTTATACAAACTTTGAATGGATAAACAAGATTTAACACCATTGAAAAGTTTTTACTTCCGAGCTTTTGTAAGTGATGGAAAATTTCCAGATTACTCTATTTTTCTAATTGAAATATATAATAAATAATATATAAACGTCTGATATAAAAACGAAGATCATGCACAAACTCCTTTTGAGTTGATAAAGAAGAAAATATTTATTTAGAATCGATTAATATCGATGCAACCAAGTCAGTAAAAAATTAAAAAAAAACTTTTATGTTCCAATATTGAATGATATTTTTATATTTGTGCCTCATAAGAAACTCATAAAAAGGACATTTTATTGAAATGCCAACCGATCACAGCTCATTTGAATATTATTTTGCATTAACAATTCAACACACCTACATTAAATTTTGCACGATATTAAAAAAAAGATAATGAAATTATTTTAACTTTATATTATTAAATATCAATTGTAACTTTATATAATTATATCCACTAACAATATTTTACACATATTGTATTTAAACAGATCGAATATAATAAAAACTTTTTTTATCAGATTTTTTAGTTTGTCATACAGAAAAGTCTATTAAGAGATTATTAAAATAATAAAAAATTTAAATAACTCCGAAAATATTTATTAATAAATAAAGTTTATTCTTATTACGGACTAAATTAGCCAATGGTTTTTTTTGGTTGCACCGTCTTTACCTTTAACATTCAAATTAGTTGTCAAGAATTAGGTAGGTATGAATCATTATTTTTTACCTAGCAAACGGTCCCAAACAACACAAAAAAATCTACCTGCTACGCGGGGTCTGTCTTACATTTGGGCACAATACGGCTCGAGAGCGGCTGATCCACAACGATAATCCAGCATCCTTAAATTGGTCTCAGTGAAAAATGTCCACAGAAGGCGGGAGACGCGTCGATCAATATTTTGTCAAGTACACGGAAGTTAACATTAATTCATACCGCTCAAATTCAAAATTCGAACTTGCGCGACACACCAAGTTTTATTCGCTCGGCGTTGCATCGTATTGGAACGTAGCTCGGCTGCTACTAGAGACTTTTGTGAATTACTGTGATTCATCTGGGTGAGTCCCCAGAAGGGGAGTTTGTCCATTTTTATATTTACACCGTGTCCCTTGCGGCATGCGCGCCGTCTCTTCGCCAGTCGCGTTACTACAGTTTCACGCACGAACACCAGTGCAAGGAAAGTGATGTAAATAATACTCGTACTACAATATTTATACACAAATTGTTGTTTACTAATAGAGACATCATGAATACATAGTGTAATAATGTAATGAGTGAAAAAAACATGAGTTTTAAGTGAAAATGAGTTGAATAAGTGATTGTGATCAGTTTCGCTTCGATCGGAATGAAATCTTACTAAGGACATTCTATGTATTTCAGGAAGTGTTTCAGTAAGGAACTTTTCGTTCTCATAATTCACGCTAGAGGTCAGTATTGAATTTACCGCTCTTTCAAAAGTAATAACTTTTATCATTTTTAGATATTATTTGTTCACCATTCGATAGTGTACATATAACTATGGATTGTTAGGGTTAAAGTAGCGATGCTCTTCCCTTTGCATCCCTTCTCCGCCCTATACGCATGATCGACCGGTAGAGTTTAGGGGTATATTGTAAGTAGGGTGCGGGTAGGGTCTATACATATTTAATGGTAGGTATGTATTATGTTCTATTGTAAAAATACACACCGCTCTACAGCTATTATACAAATACAAATGTAGCCGTTGTTTATAAATTTAAAATATGTTTAATAAAATCTATTATACTAAAAAACTTTCTAAAGTGAGTATATTATTATATTTTTTAATTACTTTATAACATTATAATGGCTAAATAGTTAATTTTATAAAATAAATACACTTGTTAGCAATCACGATTAATATAAGATAATCAAATATGAATTATGTCCTTACTTAATAATTTACTTATTATGTTCAAATAATAAAACAAACTATTTTGAATGTAACACAAATAGTTATCTTATACAGTATAAAGTGGCTCTACTCCATCAAAATCAATGTATCGTTAAATAAACGGATTAGGTTTCATAACAATGATCGCGTCGTAAAAAAAGTGACCGAAGAGCAATCGCGCAGATAGATGAAAACATAACATTTATTGATAAAAAAAACAGCTAAAGAGTGAGTGAAGTGACGCGTCTATGCAGATAGATACCATATAGAGCAAGACGTAGCGAACGACATCGGACATGTTTGTTTTCATACCGGTCCGAATTAACGTCGCGATTGGTTCAAAATCCATAACTGGCCTCCGAGAGCCAGGTGTCGTTCACACCGCGGCCTCGCGCGCCTCGTCTCGTTAATCACTCGTGTTCGCTATTGTTATAGCGCGTCCTACAGCCATCTTTGTCAAATTACATGAGATTCATTTCAATAATTCGGTTGTGTTAACAAATGGAACGAAACGTATACACTGATACAGACGCGTTATGTGACAAAATCGTTTACTTAACAACATTCTCTTTTGTTTTATCGCTGACGCTACACTGAATGGAAGCGTTACGACGGTGTTAACGATCAGTCAGTCTAGCAGTCTACCATTATAATGATGGATGATGTCGTCTATTGCAAAAACTGTGTTAAGTGTTCGTTTTAATAAATAATGTGAAGGGTGGTATTTGTGTTTATGTTTGACTCTACATGTGATGAAAACTGCGTCGTAATTTGTCGTACACATTGCATAAATGAGTGGAATGGCGTTGCGGACTGCGCGGGCCGGAGCATGCGCGCCAGTTTTCTCGGTTTCGCTGGGAACGCACTGAGTGGCCTTCGTTTATGTGCATATCAAAATGGGAAGGTCTAGGTTCCCCGGTAAACCACTAAAATTCCACAACAGAAAGCGCATCAGCGTTCTATCGGGCACTGTTTACCATGAAACTGCTCCAGAGAATAGTTCAGCCAGCCGAGGCTCGGCTGCCAACGACTTTTCTGGGGAGAAAGAGGTAAAGCGCAATTCATAAGTTTAGTTGATAGACGAATGTTATATAAAATTGGTGGTATTCAAAAGGATGTGTTGTGTTTACGTAATAACAAGCACTGGTGAAGCGCCAAACGTATTGTAAACGCAATACAAGATCGTATTTTGACATTCGGGTTTCTATAGGGACTCTGTGATGTCAACAAAGGAATTCAGGTTTTAGATAATTTTAAACGCAATTAATCCTATTAAATTATATCTAACTAATAGTTAAAGCATAATCGTCGTTAAATTTATATTAAATGTCTAGTTCTAACCTCACTTTTTTCTAATATGTAATGGAAGACAAAGTGATAGAGTCCTTGTCATAAATGATAGGAATATTAAACAAAGTTCAATAACTAACTTAAGAAGTATAGTGATGTTGATTTTTTTCATCAAAATAAGCCTAACAATACTGTATTCATGAAAACAAAATAGAATCACTTAAATGTTTTCTTATGTCAAAATGGTTTGTTTCTTTAATGGATGCTTTGAAATAAAATATTACCAAATTATATTGACTACTAAATTTTTATAGTGTATAGACTGTTTTCATGTTAACAACAATTGTTAAGAATAGCTATGTAGTAAGGAATCTAATAAACTAATATTTTTCAAACATAAGGTTGTTAGTAATTATTGCTCAATGTTAATTGTTATTGCCAATGACATAAATATGAAAGTTATTAAGAGTAAGGACTAACATTTTCATTATGTTTTATGATTATAGAAGTTATGGTTTTTTATCAACTTTAACTTAGTCGATATATTAAAATAAGGTCATAAGAAAAAGTGGATTATAATGGATATTTTAAACGTTTTTTGTTGGTAATAAAGTTATTAGACAGAATTAATTGTATTTTGTTGTTTAACAATATTGACCGTCTACATATAACGATAACATTGAAAGAAAATTTAAAATAAATTGGTTACAATTTCAGGAAGAAGAGAAGAAGGAAAATAATAGTGAAAATGATTCAAAAACAAACGGTGATAATAAGGTCAACAATAATTTAGATAAATCAGACAATCAGGATAACGCTGAATCATCAAAGTCTCCTGTCCGAACAAGGTCCCATAATAAAATGGAGCCTCCAAAAAACGATAAACCCAAACCAGTGAAAAAGACAGTAACATTTGGTACAGTTGAAAGCTGTGAGGATATATTCTTGCCATTAAAGAAGGTTCCAATAAAACATCATGCACCACTCGTGCCAATTATAAAGAAAAAATCTGCACTCAAACAAACTGAATATTCTACATTCAATAGTATTTTGAAACCAGCCAAGTTAACAGACCTGAGCTCCAAATCATCATTGGAACCTCAAGAAGGTTATTTAAGGAAGAACCTAAATCCTTTATCAAAATCAACAAATAAATTTTCTCAATTTAGTGATATCAGAAGTACTTCACCACCTCCAAGAATCACATCGCCTATTGAAAAGAAGAATAGCACTAATAAATTTGAATTGCCCATAAGGAGTAGTCATTCGTCAAGAGTGATTAAACCTAATAAAAGGTTTATCGACGGTGATGAACAAACATCACTCCCTAGTCTCTCCTCTGGCAAAGTTCTTAAGAAACCAAAATTGAAGAGGCTAGTGTTCAACAACTTACATGATGACGACGACAGTGCTGAAGATGAGGAGTTAGATAAAACAAATGATGTTGAAAAATCTCGAGAAAAATCTTTACCTACATCAAGTTTGTTTAAGGACAAAACAACAAATTCATTTTCAAACCTGAGTAACAATGGTAATAGAAAAGTTATTAGAGACTTCTTTTCATATGATAAAGAACCTGAGGGTAATCAAGATGAAAATTCGAATGTGGAGAGCCTTGATAGGATAAAGTCACCAGATGGTAATAAAGAGGAAAGGTCAGGACATGCTATGCGAAAGCTCATGGATATTTCTGATGCAAGCTCAACTAGTACTAGTGCCTCGGAGTCAGAAGAAAGCTGGGATAGTGACAGCGGGGAAGCTACTGGTGAAGAAGGCGAACGACAGCCACCATTGAGTCCTGAGAAAGATAAGACATCTGCCTCACAACTATTAAGCGGAAAGGTCATTATAAGGGAAGCTAGGTTACAACTTACTTCTACAGCCACTTCCACAACTGGGCTTGATGGACCATTCTCAGCTTTAACAGCAGTATCATGTAAGTTTTCTTTTGTATTATATTACTTTAAAACTTTTTGTTTAACAATCTATTCAAAAAAACTATTTTTGTGTGTATGATTTAATAGAAATTGTAACTATGTGACTTTCTATAGCCAATAACCAACCAGCAACTGTGACTTGTGGGGTTTGTGGAGCAGTGAGATTCTACAAATTTGTAAGACAGGCAAGAAAATTTGGAATATATTCCTGTGAGTCATGCCGAAAATTTATTTCAAAACTGTTGAAGAAAGACAAAATGGTTTTACGAACATCACCTGTGGTTACTCATTGTGTGAGAGGAGAAGGTAATTGTCAAATAATTATTTAAATGTTATTATAGCATTTTGGTGAATCTGGTAGCTAATATGGAAAATTTTATTTTAGGCAATTGTCATGTTCCACCAGTAGTTCGGTCACAGCAGTGGAAATTACTGAAGTGTACTAATAAATCCCGATGTCCTGCTTGTTGGCTGAAGCTATGTCTCAAAGCCTTCCAAGTTCCACCTCATATTAGAGCCACTTTGACTGCTATGCTGCCGTCTTATATGAGAAGTGGATCCAAACCATCGGGGCCATTGACTCAAACTCATCCACTAAGAATAGCATCCAGTACATCACCAACCCAGTCAACATTCAGTACTTTGGCTTCTGAAAGTGAAAATACTCTGTTTGCTGTAAAACCAGTTAAGAAACCGTCAGATGACACAGATAAAACTGAGGTTTGTATATTTTTCCAAGACTTAAATTTTTGAATAATATATATTCATCTCTTATGATTTTATGTATTTTTTTTTCTCTAGGACACTAAAGCAGCTAAAGGGCTCGAAACTAACGAGGAATCAAAGGAAGATGCTAATGCGAGCAGAAAACGTCGCATTACTCGGACTAAAGTTAGAAAGAAAGATAAAGGCGAGTCCAAACAAACTGAGGATACGAAGCGACAAAAAATGGAACTCAAAGGACCTAGAGTTAAACATGTGTGTAGAAGTGCGTCCATCGTCCTTGGACAACCAATCGCAACATTCCCCACTCAAGAAGAAAAGGATAAAGACAAAACTCAGCAATTAGATGACGATTCCACCATGCTTATTACTGACAAGGATAGAATTACGCCAGATTCATCTTGTGATTCAGAACACGATGTTGAGAATAAACCAGTTCAAGTGGTACCGGAAGCAATAACTAAGGAAAGTGATCAAGAAGTATTAGAACCCAAGAAGAGGAAGATTGAAGTTGCTCCCAAACCACAAACCAAAAATGAGTCCAGTGAAGATGAGACTGTCATGGATATTGTTCCAAGGAAACCTACATTGAAACCTTTAACCAACATCACTAATGTATGTTTAAACAATCTTTACCTATATAATAGGGAGATAGTTGTAATTTAACTTATAAAATTATCATTTATAGGTACGCGGGCGTGCCCAGAAGTGTGGACAAAACAGACCTGAACTTATTTGTGTTGATTTCTGGGAGAGTTATGACCCTGATGAAGTTTGTAATTCTGGATTTGGTTTGATTGGGACTATGCCATTCACTCTCGCCAAACTTTGCTTCTTGTGCGGCAGCGCTGGTCGTGAAAAGGTATTTAATTTTAAACTCGAGAAATTTTTTATACATACTACAATAAATTCAAATATGAAAGAACATAGTCCTGTTTGTTAATATTTATAGAGTTCAACGTAATGTCGTTGTTATTTATTCTATATCATTCACTCAAATAATATTATAAAATTTAATATGGCCAGGAGTCTACGTTTTTCAAAATAACATAAAATTAGTTTAGAACACATTATTTTAAATTTACAACCATATAAAATATACAAAAAACTATTTAGATTTTACACTTATGCATATGTGTCTTGGTTTACACTATTGATTGTAAGATTCAACATTTGAATCTCTACCCCCAGATGTTAGTATGCAGCAGCTGTTGTGAATGGTACCATGTGTGGTGTGCTGAGGAGGCTGGCGGGGGAGGGTCGTGGACTTGCGCCCGTTGCGTATGGTGCGCTGCATGCGCTCGACCTGCTGCAAGACTGCGCTGTCGCTCCTGTGCGAGACCATACCACGCCGCTTGTCTGCCGTCTGCACCACCTGACCATCGAAGTGACTGGCCACAGGTATGTTTACAACTCTACCATCATATTGGTATCTGCATCTTTGTAGATAATGATTGTAAATAACAGTCATATGTACATAGTTAAAAATCTTTCATAGGTTACAAAAAAAAAATGTTAAGTAAATCTAGTATTTGTGAACTTAAAAGTTAATTTAGAGATAATGTAGAGTTTAAGTGCAAACATAAATTATTTTTCAGATCTGCAGTTCATGTCTAAAATGCAAGAGTTGTGACAGCAACAGGGTGAACAAATTTGTTGGCAGCTTACCTTTCTGCAGGCCTTGCTTCAAGTTACGTCAAAAGGGGAATTATTGTCCTCTTTGTCAAGCTTGTTACAGAGACAATGACTTTGATAGCAAGGTATGGATTATTTTAGAACATTATAAGAGATATTACATAAATATCAATTAGAATACTTGATAAATACTTTATATTTTCAGATGATGGAGTGTGGTTGGTGTGCTAGATGGGTTCATGCCAGCTGCGAAGGCTTATCTGGTGAAGGTTACCAGCTTTTATCTGCATTACCTCCATCTATTGAATACATATGCTGTAAATGTATGCCTAATGACCCACCTTGGAGAAAAATGCTAACAGAACATCTCAAAGGAAGACTACTACATCTTCTTAAATTACTGGCCAAAAACAAAAAGGCCTGCGCCCTATTGAAATTGACGCCTCATAAGAATACTCCAGTTCCAAATAAACCTTATCGACTGATGTCACCCCAGGCTATAAGAAAATTGCATTTTGATGGCGGGGATGAGTCCATGAAGAATACGTCGGAAACGAAAGTGTATAGAAATACTTCAAGGGGACGAAGAAATACACAAAATAAATTTGACGACCTCAATTCGTCCCAAATATGGCACTGCTCATCGCTATTAAATGACGTCGAAATGGACAAAGAGGAAATTCCACACACCACACATAAAGTGGTTAATCTACAAGAGCCTTTGATGCAGAATAAAGAGATCTGCTTTTCAACTGGACTCTATAGCAACAAGGCAGAGTTTAATACGCCCTGTGTGGAAGTACACGAGAATTACCCGCCACAGAAAACAGAAAAAGCAACGACCATGTTGCCAACCCTTGATGACAAGTATGAACCAATATCTGATGATGAAGAACCTACGAAAACTTTCTCACAAGCTCGAAGTGAACAAGACTTAAGTCCTGCCATAATAAGACAAGCAAATATTGACGATAGTCTTGAAGACTTGGGGAGGTTAATTTCGCCATCACTACTAGATATAAAGAAGAGAGTAAACAGTGATGAATACATCTCTTTAAAAGATTTTAATCACGACATGAAAGAGGTTATTGAGAGGACAGCAAGTGTAGATCTGACTTCAATATACAAAGATTTGTTCTCTGAAACATTTCCTTGGTTTGATTGTGAAAATAATTGCCTTCAGCCAAACTTGGAAGTAGAGGGCGAACAGGAAGAGACTGATTCAATTAAAGACATTGAAATGACGGATACAAAGGGGATTAAGAACACTACGCAAGTGGAAAGAACTCTTGATCAAATAGTTCCTAAGTTGGAATCTGTCAGCCAGAAGGAAGAAACTGAAATATTAGAGTTTTATCCAATGGTTGACTCTCGTATTTGCGTTTTGTGCAAAACTTGTGGCGATGGATCACCGGCTATGGAAGGTCGACTATTGTATTGCGGGCAAAATGATTGGATACATGCCAATTGTGCTTTATGGTCTGCAGAAGTGTTTGAAGAAATTGATGGTTCACTTCAAAATGTTCATTCAGCAATATCAAGAGGGAAAATGATCAAATGTGCAGAGTGTGAAGTTAAAGGGGCTAGCGTAGGTTGCTGTGCCAAGAATTGTAGTGAAACATATCATTATGCATGCGCAAGAAAAGCATCATGTGCATTTATGGATGACAAAAGAGTATTCTGTCCCACTCATGGAAAAGATGTACCGAAGAAAAGTCTACAAAAGAACGCAGATTTTGAATTGACTAGACCAGTTTATGTTGAACTAGATAAAAAGAAGAAAAGATACACGGAAATAAACAAAGTACAATTTTTAATGGGTTCATTAACAGTGCACAGCCTTGGCAAGATTGTACCATCAGTGTCTGACTATGAAGATTTCCTAATGCCAGTAGATTTTTCTTGTAGCCGACTGTTTTGGTCATGTAAGAAACCTTCTAAAATTGTTCGCTATACAATTAAGACTAAACTAATACTGGCTGAACCCATGCCTGGATTCGATTTTGGCGTCAACATAACTGTTGATCATTCTATGGATGTACAAGTTGTAGATCGTGTAATGGCAGAAATTGGCGCATGGCATGAGAGCATAGAAACGGGTTCTAGTAAAACCGTTCTTATGTTAAAGAGTGATAAATCGCCTATTAAATTCGGAAAAACTGTTACGCTCGAAGATTTGGCTGTAAAACAAGTCGTGGAATATTTGCTGGATAATCTTTGCAAGCAAGAACAACAAGACGAGGAGGAACCGCAAAACACCGCGGACCTGTTGCCTCCTGAAGTTAAAGATGCTATATTTGAGGATCTAAATCACGATCTCCTCGATGGTATATCTATGCAAGATATTTTCCCTAAACTCATGTCCTATGAGGATCTGGCAGGTATAGATTTAAAAGGCGAGTTTTATGGCGCTATAAGTCAATCAGACGACAAATCAGATTCTCGTTCCAGTGATTTTATTGATGAACTGCTTAATGCTCGTTTGGAATCTGGAAATAAAGAACTTAAACGGAGTAAATCCGAAATGTTACTACAAAACCACAATCTAAAATCTCTGACAACAGGCCGCGGGCAACAAAGATCGTCAAGTTTAACCTGGAATAATAAATTTGACACAAGCTTACTTTCTTCTACCATAAAGAGATGCAAGATGGGAAAGACATCGACCGTGACTGGAAAACTGAGTCCTATTCAGCGAATTATAGAAAATCCACTAGAAACTATAAAAGAGATAGAAAGAAGCAGTGTAGACAAGAAATCTAAACCTGAAACTAGTACTAGCATTTGCACTGAAACAGGCCATTCGTCTGGCCTCAATTACAGAACAACATCGCCTAAACAAAAAGAAGAATCTAATGCAGATAAAAACGATAAATCTGAAGGATATTATACTGACGTCATAGATTTTTATACTAAAATCCAATGTAGTCCTATATCTCAATTGGATGGTGCCGCTGATTGGTCAGGGTCTGAAAGCAATTGTAGTTCACGACCAAGCAGCCCTCAAGATGACTTTACGAATATTCAACAACTAGATGGGGCTGAAGATCATCATCCTTGTGACAATGCACCCAAAAATCAAAACAATCAGTTTCTGTATAGAGCTAGTGGTACTGAAAGTACATATACTGTGACCATCGCTGGTAACTCTATTAGTGGACAGCCGGAACTTGTCATGAGACCGCTTGACGACCCTTCTGGTAATTCTGGACAAGGAGAACAATTAGTGAGATGCGATAGATGTCAATGTACATACAGAAACAAGGAATCCTACGACCGCCATATTCCATCGTGTGACATGATGTCGACAAGTGAAAGTGAAAGCGAAAATCCTAAATCTCCTGAAAACAGAACTCTAACTACCTTGCAAAATGCTTTCCAAGGAGCATTTGCCCAACCAATGATTATACATGCAGGTGTCGTAAGTAACACCGAAAATACTGTAAAGGCAGAAGGTATTTCAGCAAGAAGAACCAGTATCAATACTAGACAAATCACTATCAATGGAACCATAGTGGAAACTCCATCACCCGGGCCATCAAATGAAATGACAATGACAATTACAGAGCAAATGAAATCTGGAACGGTTATATTTGATCAAAGCAAGACTACTAATGTTCAGGTATCGGCCAACCAACAAGTTTTATCATCTCCACAGATTGTTGTTACGCCTCAAATGTTACTACCACCTAAAACAAGTACCTCTGCTGGACAAAAAATGATGGCACCACAAATAATCACACAACCTGGACTTTTACCATATAATATTTGTGTTAAACCTGGAACTAGCAATGCAAATATACAGCAGATTCAAGGGACTGATATGACACAATTACTAACTGGTGGCGGTGGTATTCAAGTACTGACTTCCAACTCAAATCAAGTCTTGACTATACCAAATCAAGGAATGATACAAGGAAAGAATCAGGTTGCAAACTTTCCAAATATGGCAAGTGCGTCTTCTATCACCTTACCTGTAAATTCTATTCAGGGTATGCCTAACACGTCGATAATACACAAAATATTCAACCCATGATTCGACCACAAATACAGAGTAACCCCACTATTGTAGTGCCAGCTATGACAGCCCAAAGGCTTGCTTCACCTAATTCTCAAAAGCAAATTTTAATACCGAGTGCACCACAAAAGTCTCCTAAAAAGCAACCTACCCAGGTTCAGCCAAAACCAATATTTCAAGCAAATCGTGGAAGAGGTAGACCGATGCCAAAACCAACAACAATTAAAAGGCAAACTAAATTGGAGAAAACATTCACAACTATTAATCAAAGTCCTTTAGGACCTGGCAATACTGTTATACAATTACAGACGAATAACCAAACAGGTCAGCCATCTATTATTGTACAGCCGGTTGCTAATCAAAACATCATGTCGGCTTATGTAGAAGCTTTATCTCAGCAGCAGAATCAAAATATGCAATATATTGCGACCATTGCACCTCAAAGTGATTTCAAAACTGGGCCTACTCAATTTATCTCACAAGGCGGGCTAATGCCACAAACCTTCCAATTACAACAAACAGAATCTGGGGGTCTTGTTGCTGTACCAAGTGGAGGAATACCTGTGCTCTTGCCACAGGGGAATGTTGGAATCTTACCTCAGACGATACAGCAAGGAACTATTCTTCCCCAAGGTGCAATTCAGACACAAGGAATATTATCCCAGGGACCTAATGGACATACTATTCTACCGCAAGCAATACATACACAAAATGGTACTACTATCATACCTCAGGGAACTATTCAAGGACTTACGAATGGAAATATCACATCGCAAACTGCAACTTTAATTCCAAATAATACATTACAAAGTGCCGGAGCCACAGTGGTGCCACAAAGTGGTATAAGCAATGGTCAAACTACCATAATTCCGAATGCACTGTCATCGCAAGGCAATACATTAATATCATCCGCGCCTGGCACAACAATACTTCCTCAAGGGACAATTTTACCTCAATTTTGCAATGATCAGGTGCTTCTAGGGTCAACACCTACCCTTGAAATGGTTACGGATCCATCTGGATGCATGTATTTAACAACTACGCAGCCCGTCTATTATGGTTTGGAGACAATTGTTCAAAATACAGTGATGTCGTCACAGCAATTTGTATCGACAGCCATGCAAGGAGTATTAGCGCAGAATAGTAGCTTTTCCGCAACAACCACACAAGTATTCCAAGCGAGTAAAATAGAACCGATTGTTGAAGTACCTACTGGATATGTCGTTGTTAATAACGTTGGCGACGCTGTAGCATCACAAGCTGTTTCATCAACACCGAATGTTGTAACTGCAGTCCAATCATCACCGCCGGCACTGAAAAATGTTAAAACATCAGTTCCTAACTTAACATTGCAACCGTTACCCGACAAGCAGTGTAACAATAGACAGGCACCTAAAGTAATTCAAATGAATGCACCACCCCTTGCTATCGGATCACAATCAGGAAATATGATGAATGGAAAACAAGGGTTGAACCCAATTACATCCCAAATACATAGCATGACGCTATCAAACAATACTCAAAGTATGCAAAGAGTGAACATATCTAAACACAATAATGTGTCCATGTCACCAAATGTTACTCTTGTATCGTCAACAGGACAACCATTGATGGCAATATCTCAGTCTGTACCTAATACAATGAATTCATTTTCAATTCAATCGATACCTTTAGCACAACCAATAGTTTCAAGTTCTATTGCACCATCAAATAAAAACACAATGAAAATAGAAAACTCTCATGTCATCGAAATAAGTGGAAATTTGCATGAGAGTTCAAATTGTACGAGCTTGCCTACAATAAGTGTCACACAGAGCATGAAATCTCCGACTCCATGGAGGCAACAGGAAAATAAAACTGAGCTTCATAACATAGGCCTCAAGACTTCTCAAAGTTCTACGATGAATATTCAAAATAATATGATTTCAGGAAGACAGATGTCACTCTCGGATTCAGGAAAGGACAATCAAAATTGTATGATGTCAGTTAATAATAATGCCAACTCAATGAATCATCAATTTGAATCGAGTATAAATGTATCTCATCACTCATCGGCCCATACGACTTCTAACAACATGATCCAAATAACAGCTGGAAATATATATCCGCCGTCATCATCAATGAGTAGTAATTTTGATGCTGACACAACAATGAAGCTAAGTAAAATTAACGCTCTGTCAAAAACTGAAGGAGGTCACATGAATTTCTCACAGGAAATAATGGCATCACATTCGCATCAAAATTCTCATGACAAAAATTTCCAAAATATGGGTGCCAACGATAAACACAATAATGATAACATGCACAACCAAATTAATATACATAAACTAAGTAGTTGTCAAGTGAATGGAAACATGAATAACTCGCCATCAATCAGTATCATTCCACCAAATATGGTAAGGCCGCAAATGCAAAATAATCAAAACTCAATAACTGTTGGCAATAACCAGAATCAAATGTGCTCTATTTCAAATAATTCACATGGGCAGGTTCAACTTATGAATTCCGTCAACGCCTCAACAATGCAAAATGTCAACATGTCATGTCAAGAGATGGTGAACAATAGAATGAACATGTCAGTATCAAGTGAAAGCAACCAACACGAAATGACTAACTCCATAACAACATCCAATATGTCCCACGCTAATATACAAATGATGTCCCATGATAACAACCAACTTTCATCTACAAATCAGATACAAATAATGAACGGACAGATACAGAACAACTGTTTGGTAGAGAATAATAGTCAGATGCAGCTGAATCAAGGAAATTCAAACAGATCCTTCCATGATAATATTATTGGTAACCAACAGGGCCATAATCAAAACAACATGCTGTCTAATCGCAGTACACCAGATACTAGCAATTTAATGAATCAAAGTATGAACATACACAACATAAACAATAACCACACCATGAGCCGTAATGATCTCGGAGAAATAAATCACATGCACGTCAATCAAACCTTGCCTAATATGAACAATATGCAAAACAACAGAATGATGATGGATAATATGCAATCGCATGTAATGAACAATGTTAATCACCAAATGCATACAAATAACAGGCCTATGGATGCCATGCATAACCAACAAATGCATTCAATGCAACAAATGAACCACCATATGAACAGCAACAACAATCGTTCACAGATGGACAACAACATGCATAATATGAGTCAACAAATTTCAATGCAACAAAATAGACAAATAGATAATGTTAGTCACCATCACCAACATCAGATGTCTAATATGATGCAGTTGCAAAATAATCGTCAACATAACATTGATAACAATTTAATGGGTATTCATCAACATGTATCTAATCAAATGCACAACAGACAACAGATGGATAATAACATGCATATGCATCATAATAACGTGAATATGGGTCTGAGCGGCCAGCTAGATAACACCGGTGTAATGGCGAACATGCATGCCAATAGGCACGACAATACTCAAATGTCAATGCAGAATATAAACGCCATGAACCAGATGCAAAACAATAGAAATTCAATGGAACATAATCACATGCAACATCAGATAAACAATATGGGCTCTATGAATAATATGAATTTGCATAATAACATAAACAATTCTATGCAAATGCCGAACACCAATCATCAGTCTATAAATAACCCAATCATGCATATGCCAAACATACCGGATATTAAAAATGAAATTCAGAGTTCATGCGGTGGAAGTTGCGCAAACAGCACCCAACAGTTTTCTAATAACAATCAGTCAACTTTCGAAATGTGTGCAAATATGAGTTCTAACAACATGAATATGACGAACACTGGAAACATGATGCGTGGAATGACTATAAACAACACAAACATGTCGAATAATATGATAATAAATAATGTGAACAATAACCCATATGGATCCAACAACCAGAACAACTTGACTGGTCATGACATGCTTATAAGTTTGTAACAGTTCTACGGAACACAATGTATCAAATCTCATGTCCAGTAATAGCAACCATATGATGATAAATAATACTCAAACACACAACAACGGAAACCAAAACCAGATCATGGGTAATCAAGTTCAAAATAATCCACAAATTAACATAAATAGTTGCAGCATGAACACCAATAATTCAACTCAACCAACAATATCCAATATTGACAATCAAATTAATAGAAACAATATGGCTGTTAACGAACAATCCAAATTTGTACAAGAACCAGTTAGAGGCAAGAATATTATGGGACCTCCAACAAATATTTCCAATAATGATTGCGCTAAAGTTAATATGGGTAACAACGATAAACCAAATCATACTATATCAGTCAGTAATCAACTAGGTTACATGCAAATGAATCCACCGAATGGTAATAGAATTATCAATCTTCCGGAAAGAAGCAGGTTAAATAATACAAACCTAGAAAATAATGTCAATCAACATGTACCACAGCAACATAACATTCGTGTTGTGACCAATAACAACACAAATAATATGTCTGGAATTACAAATGATTCTATGACATACCAACAAAAAAGTGAAAGTAGCACCATGATAAATGTGCCTTTCCAGGCTATACCTAATAGTGCCCCAATGAATATCAATGTCAATTCCAGCAACAATACCGTCAACATAACAGTTCAAAACAATTTGGTGGATCCCAAGATTGCGTCTAAAGCTGCAGCAGATTTAAATTTCCCATTGCAATCTACTGATAATATGATTTGCATACCTGTCCAGAATAACACCATTAGCTTACCGACCCAAAACAGTTCAAGTATTACACTACCCAAGGCACCGTCTACTCAACAATCCGGTATTCCAACCAATGTCGTAAACCCTATGTCAATGCGGCCGATGAATAGAGTATTACCTTTACATCGTGACGGACAAAGTAAATCTTCTAAAACTTCGGGAACTAAAACACCAACTGTTCCCAAACAAAGACCCGTAAACCAAGATATGCCAGATCTCAACATGAAAGATGAAAACATGGATAGTGATCTTGAAAAAGCTATAGAGGAATCTAAGAAATTGATGGAATTAGAAAAGGCAAAACGAGAAAAGGAAGAAAGAGATGCTGCGCGAGCTGTGAAGTTATCTACTGAAATACAACAAGCGAATACTAGTTCCACATCGTCGGCAGTTCTTGTTAACAGAATCGATACAGTAGTAAATGTACCAAAAATGACATCTCTGCCCAGTTTAGATGAAGAGATGGAACAGGAGCCAGCAAAAGTCTTAACAGAAAAAGATACAAACAAAACTGTCATTCCATCAAAACTGACGAATGCTACTACTAAAGTATTAAAAAGGCCTTTAGTTGACAAAAAGGCTGATACTGAAGTAACGACTGCTACTAAGAAACAGAACAAGGTTTTGAAAGGTCAAGAAAATAAGTTTTCTCAACCTAAACAAGTGCCAACACCACCTAAAGATGACGGCCCAAAATTGATATACGAAGTATCTTCAGAAGACGGATTTAATTATTCTTCGTCCTCACTAACCGACTTATGGTCAAAAGTAATTGACGCCGTGCAGAATGCCCGGAAGCAATCTGGCTTGCCTCTCATTCAGTATAATCTACCAACGACCCTGTCTGGCGCACATTTACTAGGATTAAATAATAACGCCTTAAGATACCTCATTGAACAGCTGCCAGGAGTGAGTATTGCACATTCTTTCCTTCATTTATTCTTTTCATATAATGTGTTAATTATTTATAAATATTTTTTTATTTATAGGCAAATCGTTGCTCCAAATACAAAATACGTCAGGGTCGTCCTCTTAACAGCTGGGACAATGACTTGGACCTCAGCGAAGGGTTCAAAGAAAGTCCCTGGGGCAGCGCAAGAACCGGCCCAGTTTCAAGGAAACAGAATCACGATATGTTCAGCTGGATGGCTTCCCCGTTCAGAGAAGAACCACCTCCTTTTGGTGGTCAAGAAGGAGAAAGTACCATCTCAAGGTAAGAATCGATACCTCTCAGCATTCCCACAGATTCACCGTGTCGATGCATCCCGGTGTAGTGAGAAGAGCTTCAACAGTGCCTAGGACTTTAGGTTTAAAGGGCCCCTATCTAACGCGCGTTAAACACCACTTCCACCGTCCAAGCTCCTTTTTTTAACTTACAAAATTTGAAACGAACCTAATAGGTCTGCCTTCAACGCTCGTTCCAAAAATGATGTGATGTTAGTTCTGGACACGCCCAAGTCTTTTAGGAGGTTTTATAATAAAAATCTCGTAATTTTATTTTATATAGAAAAATAAAGTTTTATTTTTTCTTTATATTACAGACGCTTAGCAACTCTTCCACCAGCGATGAGATTCAGGCAGTTAAAAGAAACATCGAAGGCCTCCGTTGGCGTATACAGATCTCACATTCACGGTCGCGGACTATTCTGCAAGAGAGATATTGAAGAAGGTGTGTTATAATAATTTAATTTCTTATATACAGAAAAATCTAATACGATCATAGGTAAAAGGAAGTTGCAATTAGTCTGTTAGGCTGTTTTAGTCACATAAGTATTGGCTAAAACAGCCTTTTCAAATAATATTATATTTAATCTGTTCTAATCTGTTTAAATGGTTGGAAGTTATACTTAATAAATTAATTTGTTACAATTACTCCTCCGTAAGGGACCAATATAAATAATATAAAATTAATAATACAAAAAAAAAAACCGTAGCATTATATACCAATCTTTAGAAAAACAAAAATGTGTTGTAAAATACCCAAAGGAAATGAAATCGTGCTTGTAATTTAACTCACAAAAGTATTTAGCAAACTAAACAACAATTACTTCCCTATTATTTAAATAAAAACATAAATTCGAGGCATAATATATATTAATATGTTCTTTATTACAGGCGATATGGTGATTGAATACGCTGGTGAAGTCATCCGAGCCGTTTTGGCCGATCAGCGTGAGAAGAAGTACGAGGCGATGAGCGGCCGCCGCGGTGTGGGAGGCTGCTACATGTTCCGTATAGACGACAACCTGGTTGTAGACGCCACGCTCAAGGGAAACGCGGCCAGATTCATCAACCACTCGTGTGATGTTAGTTTGAATAATTACTAGAACATAATTTACTCAAATGTTTGACATTTATTACAAACTAGCTGGGCCCCGCGGTGTTACCCGCGGATTTCCGAGATTTCCGGAATGTAAAGTAGCCTATGTGTTATTCCTGGACGTCAGCTTCCTGTATACGAAATTTTATCAAAATCGGTTTAGCCGTTTGAGCGTGAAGAAGTAACAAATATACACACACACTCACAAACTTTCGCAATTATAATAGTAGGACATCTCAAAGTTTTGAATATTATGCACATATCAGTAAATTTAATTTAAACTCTAATATTTATCTTTCAATCTTACAGGTGTCTTCTAGAATTAATAATATTGTATCGTTATGTTTAAGTACCTATACATATGTAGGTAACAAAAATAAGTTATTTGCAACTACTAATAGCAGCATGTATGCCAAGAAGTTTTATTCTTCAATTTGTAATTGATTAACAATTATTTTATTAATTACAGCCGAACTGCTACTCCCGCGTCGTAGATATCCACGGACATAAACACATCCTCATCTTCGCTTTAAGACGCATAACTATTGGAGAAGAACTTACCTACGACTACAAGTTCCCGTTCGAAGAAGTCAAAATCCCATGTACATGCGGCGCCAAGAAGTGTCGTAAATATCTAAATTAATAAGTTCATGAGTAAACAGTGAGTGAACCATTGTGTCAATTATCTCTGAACGAGATCAGACAAAAAGTGAACAACCTGTATAAGAGAACACAAACAGTACTGTCTATTTACTTGCATAGCATAATTATATAAGTACATTTCAGATTAATACTAGGAGATATAAGTGTATTACCGAGAGGTTCTGTTGTATCCCGGGAATGGAAATCATACCTTAATAATGAATGTTGTTTAGGATATTGTTTTTTAGGTGCAGAATGTAATGCTGGGTCGAGCACAATTTAATATGTACATAATTAAGACAATAAGTCCAAATCACATATCGTTCCCCACCTGTATAACAAAGTGCCACCGTAGGGAAACAGTTATCATGAATCTTGTTATGATCTCTTTATGAATCTACCCAGTGTTTAGATATTGTTGGATTGTATATTATATTGGTTTTATATGAATGAATAATTCTTATTTTGTGATAAGTTTTTTTTTATATACATTGTGTAAATATTTTTTAAGTTGTATCCGTTCTTAGGATGGTAACATAAGGGTGGGTGTAAATTGCGTGCACTATATAGAGATGTGATACGTGTTAAGCCGAGTTTCGGAATGCGAATGGTTAGTGCATAGTGTATTTGTTCCTCATTTTGTTCTAATTTCTTCACTTGTGATCATTTAAGTCTCGACTAACTTGTAAATATTTGAAGGAATTTTATTCTTAAATAAGGTACATTTGAATGGGTAGCGAAGTTGAGTACAATGTTACTTTCATATTATTTTGTAATTTTAATAAGTATTGTATAGAGAAATGTGTACATAAGAGAAAAAATTATCTGTCATAATAATGAATTTAAGCGACAAATCGTTTTAATGTAGTCATATTCGTAGTAGTATTTTAGATCATTATGTAATGTATATAATAAGTTATTTGGTGTATGGATTGGCTTGTATCGAGGGTCGGGCTGATACCGTGGCGTTTATAAATCATGGCCGATATTCGTTTCGACATCAGATGCACATTATTAGCTTTAAAAGGTTTTAGCACAGTTTATGTTCAAAACCAATAATTGTTGTTTTAAATACAATAAGTTTTTGTTCGTTGTCGAGTGTTGTAATGAACTTAGTTATAAAACATCACATTTTCATCACACATATATAATGATACCAGTGGTTATGTAAAATAGTATTAGACCAGATGTATGATGTCTATCGAGGGACGTACGTATTAAATAGAGATGATAAAATGAAATAATCAATAGTTATAGTCAATATATACATATATTGTACAGCACATTCAAGCGGAATTCAAACAATGTTAAGTTTCAATAATTTTTAAGCTTTTTTCTAAAATGTAAAAAGGTTTTTTATAAGAGCGCCCTTGTGTCGTGATGCGGAAATAAAACAAAAATCTCATGTCTCCTCTCCGTTATATCAAGTTTCCGTCTGATCTAGCTTTATTATATAACGATATTGTTAGCGGTTTAGTTTTCAAATTGTGAAATTTACACTTTTTTTTCTTTATATACGCACTTACCTTCGAAACAAAAAAAAAGTTGTGGACTAGTCTTTAGGATTTAAATTTTTATAGCCATAACGCGGCGTCCCATAAGCGGGATAACATTTTGACCGACACATTGTAGAAGTTGTACATCGAGTAACGATAATAAATAACAAAGTACAGGTAATTTTAATCAATATGAATTATTATTAACATCTATTTTTAATATAAGTTTTTTATTCGTGTAATATTAATGTGATTTTTTTTTCGATTTTTCTACCTTCTCACATTTTATGGCCTTGACCCTGGCAGTTGTGTTGTTAAATCGTGTTTAATTTAAGCGCATGTGCATTTTATTTAGTCCTGTATACAAGAAAAAATATTAATTAAAAAAGACCCAATCACAAAGTGATGACGAATTGATTTTTGTTGATTATTTTAAGTGGAAAAAAATGTCTGCTCTTGATATTATTTGTGTTAAAAATAATGCTTTTATTTTTAATGTACACATGCCATTTTGCCTAATATTATTATAAATTATATTATATTGCTTTAAAAGCACCAATTTTACAATGCATAGTTCTATGACCTGTCTATACATTTTATTACTTTATTTATTTCTATCATTATTTTGTATTGTGGTAAATTTTACCAAAAATAAAAATACTAAAATGTGCTTTATTTTATCGTTTTATTTTTATGACCATAGCTTTAACTAAACAATTATATTGTTATCCCCAATGTATTTTATAAACTGTGCTTTTTCTATAAATTAAATAAAATTATAAATTTATTTATCTTAAGACTTATCCAAGGAATTCACTATTTAAAGTCGTTTGTAATAAAAGTTGAAGAAATTACTGTTAAAATTATTTTTTTATTTTTCAATTAAAAACAGTTATTTTGGGATCTTTTTATTATTTAAAGTTGAAGCGCCAGTCCCCATACATTAACGATACAATACATATATTTATTCTCCCAACGCACTGTACAAGTCCCATCCGTCGCTATATCCCAAAAGTAAGCGGCTGCAGTGTGTAGACCAGAACCATTCTTTTGAGTTATTGTCATTCTGACTGAAAAGAAAAAAACAACTTATGGCGCTAACTAATTCTTCAAATACAAGGAAATCCGTGTTATTGCAAAAAACATGATTCTATTAGAATTGAATTAGATTGACACGGCCTTGAAATGTCAATACGATAGAGCTTTACAATAAAATGTCATTACATTTTGATCTGACTATCAAATTGATTTAAAATGTTTGTCTAAAATTACAGGAATTGACTGCTTATTTTTATTTACGTATGTATTTAAAAGGCTTGTTAAGCTTATTTAATCTGGCAAGAGTTTTTTCCGTTATAATAGTAAACCATTGCGGACAACGTGAATGACTGTAGATATTTCCACCCAAGCAGAATTCAATGTTATCTCTCACAATCTTCTGCACTTCCTCAACATTAAATGCTATATCCTGAAAATACAAATAAAAATTATTAATTTATGTATAGGTATATAAATTAATTTTGATTGCACTTTTCACATCAGTAAATTTAATAACTTACTTCTTCATCGTCCTCTTGTGCCATCTTTTATGATCGTAGACATTTACTTGATTTATACGTTTATTATGATTCCCTTCACTATTTAAAATAAGCATACATTTTAAATATCATGTTTACAGCCAGTATCAAAATAATTACGATGTTTGTAAAAGTTTTGATATTTAAATTGGACATGACTTTCACTTGTAAATTATTTGGGAGTATGAATACCGTCACCTGCCGGTGTCCTATGCTAATCTAATGAAGTACCTTTAACTATTAATTATTAGCAATAATTAAGTATAAAAAAGATTCCCGATAAAAACCCAATCCCTACTAATATTATAAATGCGAAAGTAACTCTGTCTGTCTGTCTGTCTGTCCGTCTGTTACGCTTTCACAACTAAACCACTGAACCGATTGTAATGAAATTTGGTACAGAGATAGAGTTGACTTTGAGAAAGAAAATAGGATAGTTTTTATCCCAGACTTTCGAAAGGTTCTCTTAGAAACGCGATGTAACCGAACTCCATGCGGATGAAGCTGCGGGCGGAAAGCTAGTTATGTTATGTAAGAGGTTTTTGTGGTTGTTGTATGTCATAAAACCAAACAGTCTTGATGTTGGTACTATTATTTTGTATGCAGCACGATACGTTATGATGACCCATTTGTTAATTTTGATACTTTCGAATCTGGTACTCGTTAATGTAAGGCTTCCTCGAACCCAGGTTATACAAAACAAGAACTAAAAAAATTAATAGCTTTATAGCCTAAGCTTGTTACTACAAGTACAGTCCTTGTGAGATTCCTTTATGATATACCTATTTAATCAATTTTATCAAAAGTTAGGAGACCCGAAAGATATTCTTTGTGAAATTCATATATATTTTTTTATTTTTCTTTTCGTATTCATTCAAGTAGGTATGGGTATGGCTCGACGTAGAATAAGCAATTTTTATAAAATGAATGACACAGTGATTAGTGGAATTTTTGAATTGGTAATACATATAATTTTTCCCATACCTCTATAATTTCTTAAACTTTACTTTGACTGTTAATACTGAATAAGTAAAACCTCTTAATAATCCTGCGAGTTACAGTAAAGATACCCATTATTTTTCATTGTCGTACTAAGTTACTACAAAAAAAGTTCATACAAAAGTATTTCTTCCCTGACTATCGTTTATTTCATAAAGATAAGAGGTATATTACAAAAATTTCGGAATATTTAATTTCAGTTAAAAAAAATGGCACTATTCAAAAATATATCCCAACATTTTTAACTTTCTAAACAAATACATGTTATTTTATAAATATGCACTTGAAATAAATGGTGAAGAAATAATTATAATTTTCACACAATCCAAATTAATGGCCGACTGCTGGTCACCCACGGTAACAATTGACATTGTAATTTATAACTATTTCCGAACGCTTCTTCTCATAACCCACTTTGTGGTTTTGGCCTATGTTTTTGTGAATTATAAAATATGTTTGTGTTGTATTTTTGACTAGTTTAAGTTTATACGTAGCATTATTTGTAGTGAAATCATATAATGGTGTCATAGTCCTATGTGTGTGTTGTGAGCTAAGTTGTTTTTTAAAATTAATGGAGTTGAAGGTCTGGGTCGAGGGAATACAAAGGATAGTTTGTGGGGTGACGGAAACTACAACCTGTCAGGTCAGTCGTATATAATGACTCAAGAATGTATACTTTTATTAATGCAGGACTACGTAAAGCTTTATAACCGATATCTTAGAAAGACGCTAAATAGAAAACTTTTTATTTACTCTTTTGTCTATTTATAAAAAGACCATTAGAACGTGTGATATTTATTACGTGCTAATTCCTTAAATATTTTCACTTTAGGATGTAGTTTTTGCTCTGGCGCATGCCACTGGCAAAGTTGGCAGATTCACATTGATAGAGCGATGGAGAAATAACGAGAGACTGTTGGCTCCACAAGAATATCCTTTAAAGGTATTTGTTGATATACATACTTATTTTACGTGTATACATTTAGCAACAATTATATTTTAGAAGTTACGATTACATTTATGAAGTCTGTTTCTCAATGTTTTTTTTAGATTCTGATGAAATGGGGTGAATACTCTAATGATATACAATTTATATTAAGAAGATCTGATAACAGCAGCAACCAAAAACCTTTACAACCTACCGCTAACTCTAGATCTCCCATCGGAAATGGGTTGGTATATAATATTATACAATTCTCTAACATATATAACTTTACACAAATAATATTATATTTACACAATAATAAACTGAAGTTTATCTATGAGATAAGAGAGTATGATTTTGTAACATTAGTATTATGAACTAAAACTGCTGTCTCTTTTTAACTAAAAGAGACAGCATTATTCTGATAAAATAAACTTTGTTTTTTATTTGAATTCAATACAATTATCCCACATTTAGTACTCCTTTTAATATATACAATACAGTTATTAACAGAGAATATATATATTCCAGGAATAACACAGATAAACAAAGCTCACCGAGCCAAGCAAATACTCCGGTTAACAATGTAAATACTCCCAATCCAGTGGGTGTAGTGAAGGGTGTTCAACAAAAGTCACCTGACTCAAATAGTCCTGTACTTAAAGGTGTACCGCCTTATAGGTGAGTTTTAAATACAATAATATATATTCATTTGAATATAAGAAGCTTCTGGAATGGAATATTCCTGAGCTAGATAGTTGGAAACCTTTTCAATAAATTAAAGTAAAATTGAATTATGCTAATCTTTATTTAGTTATTAGGACTTAAATTTCGATTATGTTGCTTAAAAAGAATATGTTTTTTAATATATGTCCAGTATATAAAAGATTCATAACATGATATTAATTAATTGATTTTTATTTTATATTTCCTTGTCGCTTTTTGTTAACAAGTAGCCAAAATTATTTACAACATGTTTTGTAGAAGAGAAGAACATGTTGTGCCGAACCTACATAAAGTGGAATCAGAGCAGGAAAAAATATATATTTCTTTCTCGCTTTTGGTATTTTTTGTAAATTTGTTTTATTATTTAAAAAGTCTAATATTCTTTTCTAAACAATCCAAGTTCCTTGAAATATTTTTTGATTTTTTTTTATTACAGGTATTAATATATTATGTCTTTATACCTTACAAATTATTAATATGAAATTTAATTCTTATTTATCCCATAGATGTTAATATATATCATTCTATATTATATACATATATTTTTAAGGGATCCCCCACCTCCTTACCGGTCACCACCGCCACCAGCTCTTCGTAAGTCACCAAACGCTCGTCACATGTCACCAGTTAATAACGAGGAAGAACAAACTCCTGAGGCAGTCAGCTATAATAGCCAGTATAGAGAATTAGTGTCACTCGTTAACTATCAGAGAGAAAAGTTAACTGCACAACAGGTGGATCTAATCAAGGTTAATATTAATTTTTATATGACTATTATAAGTACATATTGTGCATAATAATCATAATTTATTATAATGATACATATTTTTATTGTAGTATGACGCTGAAATAGGTTTTTGGGAGAATAAAGGAAGAGAACAGGATCGGCAAGTAGAATTGTTGCAGCAACAAATAAGTTCAGCCGATAATCAACTTAGATTGAGTGCTGAACAGGTAGTATTGACAAAAATTTAACTTTCTTGTAGTGACAATAGTGAAGGGATTAAAAAAATACACATATTAATAAAGATATTTAATATATAATGTAGTTCTATTTGAAAGTATAGACAATATTTTGTTGCTTTTTGTTGAGACTAAGTATTTTTTTGTTTTATCAATTGAAATAGGTGCAAGCATTAAATTATGTGGAAGAGGAAAGCGAAATTGTTAAACAGAATGAAAAAACACTCAAATCAGAAATAGTGCTAGTGCGATCAAAGTTGGCGAATTGTGAGACTGAACTGTTGCAATGTAAGAACAAAATAAGAAAAATCATGGAAGAAATACATAATGAACAGCGTGTTATTAATTCTCGTCAGCAAGAGAACAGGTGATTTTATTATTATCATAGATAAAACTAAAAAAATAAATAAATTAATAAATATTAGTTATCCATCAAACAAATTTATTGTCATTTTGTATATTGTTTTGGTAAACAATATTATTGGTCATATTATTTCACAAATTCAGTGTCAAGGATCTAGGAAGCCATTGAGTAAATAAAAAAACTATTATTAGAATTTTAATCAACTTTCTTTGATATTTCATGACTTATAATCTTTATGAGCATTATTTTTACTAAAATTCTTACTAACTGTATGTTACTCGTAGTTTGAGTGACTAGAAAGAAAATTAATCAAAAGAAAATTTGTTCAGATAATTACGAAAGAGATTTATCAACAAAAGATTTATTTTAAAACCTGAATATTAATAAAAATTATACTCTTTTAGTTAATTAATAAAGTCTATTTTCAGACAGGCCTTAGAACGTTCAATGTTAGCAGAAATGGAAAATCTGCAAACACAAATTCAACAAGCCAAACATGCAACTGAAATTAATCATCTAACTGCTGAAAATTTAAAAAGAGAGGTAATGTATTCAGGCTAAAATTATGGTATTGTAAAGTATACAAGAGTATAGAGTATATTTTTCACACTTGTTTCATATATGATGATGATATCAAATTTGGGATTTGTAAAGATTTTCTTTTGAAAAAAGTTTAACCATCACTATATTGCATAATAAATTCCATAGTTAAATAGTTAAATTCCATAATATTTTTGAAATAATTTTTAATTGAATATATGGTCATGTGTGTTATAACAGTGTTTATTTAACAGGTTGGTGTGTTGGAGAATGCTATAATGGAGAAGAAACGCCAGGTTGAGAGGCTAGTGCAGGAAATGAAAGAAGCAAATCTGCAGAGTCTAACGGGCAGTGTCGATGAACTCAGACATCCACTTGATGGTATAACATTTTTGCCATAGTTTAAAAAGAATTAATAATGAGACATATTAAAAAATACATGATAACTTTAAACACTTTAATATTTATTTGTTTTACCAGTTACTCTGAATCCTCAATACAGTCTATAGTTTAATTACAATAATTGAATTCTATTATATTGTTATATTTATTAATTTTGTTAGTTTCAAATATGTATAACTATCTTCAAAAAAAATTTTTAAAAGAATGTGAACCTCTTTTCAACATCTTTAATTTTGAAAAAGCTTATGTAATTAAAATTTATTTAATGTCAAAACTAGCTGTGTAACTGGTAGTCCATTTTTTCACAAAGATTTTGCATGTTTATCACATATTAAATATTTTCAGGTTTATGTAAAGCTGGAAGTGCAAGGAGAATAATAGGTTCACCAAGACAGCTAGAAAATGCTGCACCAACTAACAAAAATCCACATGGTGTTTGGGTTTGAATATAATAACATATATTGGTTCATTAAATGTACAATTGATGCTACAGTTTACAATTATTTTGATAGGTTAGATGAAAAAAGAATAATATTCAGAAATATGTTAAAATGTATTTTACTGCCATAGATTTTTGTGTGAATGTTGTGTTTATTTAACCATCATTTAATTTATTATTAAGTTTTTTTTATTTATTAGATTGTGTTCAAATTAGTGTCATATTTAATGTTTGTCACAAAATAATGTAGGAATGTTTTTATAAAATATAAGTATTATTATCTTGCCACCTACTTATCAATTTTGTGGCAAAATTTATTATTAAGGAGAGAAAGTTGTAGTTAAATTTTGATTTAAATGTTTAAATCGAAGCATTTAATATTGTCGTTTGGTTTTTTTTTGACTTTGCTATAAATTGTATTGTAATGATTTGTAATCACATATATTTGGTTTTGTATCTTTTTATTTAGCTTGACATTTGTGTACATAAAAAATGTGCCATCAATATGTGAATATATTCAAAGTGCATTAAAATCTACAAAATTTTATAATATTACTATACTATGATTTTGCAATATAGAAGTAATTTATTAATAATAATAATCTAGTCGAAAATATAAGCCATTGTAATACTTTATAGACAATTTCGGAGATTATGGCCTAAAAATGTTTCAAAGCATGATATATTCAGAATTTTTATTTATAGATTGTATTGACTCATTGTACTCTGCATGTTTAAATAAATGGAAAATTTCTGTATGCATATACAATATATATTGAATTGAAAAAAGACAGTTGTAATATTATTTATTCACTTTCCGCTTTATGTGAAATAAAACACGGTTTTATTTACAATCTTATATTTAATTTTTAATTTGACGAAATTAAATCTGTCATTTCCAACCGCCTTAGTATTTTCTGTACAGAAGTTATAAATGCTGTACTTAAGTAATATTATGTCAACTTTCAAAAACAGAAAATACATTTGAATAATATTTACAATTAATAAAATTGACAGTAAATATTAAATAAGACGAATCGAGTTTCTATCACTTTTAACCAAGTGATAATTTAATTATAAAATCTGAAGTATATTTTAAAAATCATCACATAATAAATACTATGTCAGTTAGACAACAGTCTGTTTCTAGGCACCTTACATGAGATGACAATGTTAAATTACCATACAAATAAAATGGTAGTTGAATTTTTAGTAAACAAATAACACTCTTCAAAGTTAATCATTATAATTTGGAAACTAAAATTAATTCAAAATATCTCTAGAATCAAATAAATCATTTGCTAGATATAAAAATAAAATATGTAATGAATTTTGTCACTAAAGAACATTTTTTAAATTATATCAACAGAACACTTAATTCTTTTGTCATCTCACTTGTCCAGTAATCACTATGCTTTTTCCTCTTTTTCTCTGTTATACCGCTCTAATTCCTTAAGGAATTGTCCCTTGGGTTTCATTATATTGGGTCGGTCACCACGGCATTTGGGGCAAAACCATTTACCTTTTGGTTTTGTTGTGAGTGATACACATGAAAAGTGGAACCATTCTATCGGACAGAGGTCGTTGTCACATAAAATCATCTCACCGAATGAGATTTGATCGCACAGACAATATCTTGGTTCATCGGGATCAATAGCATCTGTTTCTTCTGGTGGTGTTTCCGATCGTTGAGCCACTTGTCGAGATTTACGCTTTTTCTTCTTGCCTATACCTAAACATTTATGTTTATTTGAGTATATCAATAAAGTGGATTAAATATAATACATACAGTGAGTAAAGCTTCAAATTATTTTTATATTGGATAAAGAAGTTGTATCTGTTACTTCATATATTTTGACATTAAAGAAATGAAATTTATTTATTATTCCCTTATTAAAAGTGTATCCAAATATCAGAATATATCCATTTTATTCTTGATTCTGTTTCTTCCCCATAAAATAAGTATATTATGAACATTCTACATTAGTAAGTTGTACAGTGATAAAACTTTAAATGAAACATAATATTATAGTCAAGTATGTTCATACCTTTCTTGTGTGTTGTATTATGGGTGTGGCGTTCACTATCACGTTCACTGGAGTCAGCGCCATCAGTCGCCACACCAGCTGTAGTTCGAACACGTCTTGCACGTTTTGACCAACGTTCACCTGAAAATAGTAATAAAATATTGTAATTATGGTTCAATTATATATGGGTTATACTAGTAATGAATTATACCTCCTGATTTATCTTTCTCTGATTTTTCTTTTTCTTTCTCACTAGTTCTTTCTGGTGGTGCAGGCGGTGTTGAATGCCGTTGTTGAACTTGTTGTGTGTTTGAATCTTTCTCATTTGATCGAGACTCTGAAGCTGGGGTAGGTTCTTCTTTACTTGTACCATTTGTGTTAACTTCTAGACAGGAAACTGAAAATACAAAACATGTTATGAAAATTCTGGAATTATTCCTAATTAATAGAGTGTATCTATTAATATGGTGAGCTTACTTAGTTTCTTGTGATCAGCATCAAGGGACCTTTGTTTATTGTCAATTAAATCCTGAAGTAATTGCACAACCTGAAGCTTTTCATCTCCGATTTCTTGTGCAGCCACCAGAGCTGCCTGGAGGCGTCTCGCTGCTCTCCCACGGCGTCTCTCATCGGTATTAGGTCCGATACATATTGAAAGATAAGATTCAGCATCTCTAAGGCATTCTATAGTGCAGAATAAAATGAAAATTAATATCTGATAGAGGACAAGAACAAAAATCTGAATATGAAAATACTGAATGAGAACTATGTGACAACATGGCCTAAGCGTAATCAATGATATTTAAAATGACTACCTACACTTTAAATCGTTAATTAGGGACATATTTAGTCAAAAACTGCAAATCGACACAACTGTTAAAGATGGAGCTAAAATACAATAATCAAACACATAAAGCTTTTACTGTGTCAAATAGTTATATTACATAGTGTAAGCAATACCCAAGATGATAAAAAACAGCAAGAATATCTTTTATTACCCCTGTAAGTCACATCTAATTCTCGCATACGCGATAAATGTCGTTGCAAGTCATTAGGAAGATTTTCAACGCAGTCCAAGTAATTTTCAACGTAAGTCGCCGAAAGCAATGCTTCCGTAGATGTTTGGTTTAACATGGCTATCAATTTCACACAGTTTTCATTATAAAGTAATATTAAGAAACGAAATATAATTAACTTTCAAAGCGAATAACAAGTTATTGCGATCAAGCCGTCAAACGTAAACTATAATGCCATAGACAATTAGACAGGTTTATTTCAGTTTAGTAATTCCTTATTTAGATAAATAAAAAAAGTATATTAACATATAACATTAACAATATGAACAAAAATAAATATAATATAAGTAATTCTGTTCGTTAAAGTTTTATGTTAGATTTTAAGTTGATTTTGTAATAAATATTTCAATGTTTGTCTAGTGATTGCCTTAATCTAATATTAAATGTAAACTATTATAATCGAAACTTGAGAATTTAACATATATATGTATGTATATTAATCCATTTCAAATAAATTTGCCTTTAATGTCAGCCCCACACGTTACAGCATGTTTGCGGAAGTATATTGGAACGCGTGTGGCCGGCATAAGGTTCTAGAAGCAGTCACTTACAATGTTTCTTTTTTAATCACTAGATGGCATAGTTGGTCGTTCGTATTGACATTTTATCGCCCTCTAATTTTTAAATCTAAGTCTTATTTTTTCTAAATAGTGTATTTGTAAAATGGCAAAATACATTTTATTTTATTATTTAATTATTACTCAATTTATAATGAATGCCTTCTTAAATATCTCCCACTTTATATTGTTCTTTAACCAATTTACCTTTAATCAGATTGTGACAATATTACAAATAATGAATGGCCACAATAGTTTGATTACAAAATAAAGGAAGTCATCATTGAGTTTTTTACTATCTGGAAAGTTAATATATTGACTGAAGATAAGACACAAAGATTAAATTTTTGTATAATTGTAACTGTTTTTTTTAAATATTCTGATTATTAAAAACTATATTTGTCTAGTGATTTTTTTAATACGAAAACCTGAATTATGTCCTTACAAAGTTATTTTTTCTTAATTACCAGGAATAAAAACATTAAACCGGTTTTGTTTATTATATTTTTTAGTCGTCCTTTTTTACTATCATTCGCATTTTGTTCCTTTTACAGCCGGGATTTCAATTTATCTACTTATGTAATTGCTATCTTCTAAATGTTGGTTTTTATTTTATGTTCCGTGGTTGAATGTGAGTAACAACTAATATTCAAGAGAGATTTTAAGTTCAATGTCCCTAACTATTGATTTTCTTTCATTACTCTTACATTCAATTATTATAAAGGTTGGACTACAAGTGCGGTTCTCATATCCTACATAAAAAAGATTTTCTTACAAATTTTTTGCTTTGCTTTATTTCGAAAGTTTTGAAATTCATAAAGAGATTCTCTTTTTCTACTAAACTATTTTCATTCAAATCTATTTCATTAATTATTATTATTATCTACAGGGTGACTGGTGAATTACTATCGATATTTGAGGACGTGATATTTGACGATCATATATGACAAAATAAAAATTAATATAACATAAATATTAATAAACTTCTAAGTAAAGTTAACCAAAAGTTATGTCATTAATTACGCATCGTATGAACACCCTACAGATTAGGTATACACACACACACACATACGCCCGCGGCGGCGTGTTGTTGTATCAGCACGCCGCCGCACGCGTCCACACTTGGAACACTTGGAACGTGTACACACTTTATTTATTTATACGGAAATTTGGTCAAAAATTAAGTACCTATTTTTTTTACATAATTCGAATGAGAATCATGTACCGAGTATGCTCCTTAAATATTGATAGTAATTCACCAGTCACCCTGTATAAAGTCAGTGGTGGCCTAGTGTTTAAGGCCTAAGGGGCCCGCCTCTCGTTGCCGAGGGCGCGGGTTCAAACCTGGCAAGTACCAATGTGATTTTTCGGAGTCATATGTACTTTCTGAGAGTATTTAGACATCACTGACATACGCTGAAGGAAAACATTGTGAGGAAACCTGGACTTATAGTTTCACAATTATAAGTTTGAAATCACCAACCCGTCTTGAGCAAGCGTGGTAATTAATGCTCAAAACCTTCTCCATGTGAGAAAGAGGCATTTGCTCAGCGGTGGACACTGATAGGCTGATGACACATTGAGTGCATACAGGATCGGGGTCTTCCTAGTAACAGAAGATTTTTTTTGTAAATGACGTAATCCAAAATAAAATACTTTTATAACTGAATATTTTTTACTTTGATTACAAACTTTCAATACTTAACGATAACTTAAAATTTGGGTTAACATAGAAAATATGTAGATACCTAAAAATATATTTCTGTACTATAATAGTTATAAATAGATCAAAATTAATTTATGAAATTTGCATCTAAGAACAAAGGGAATTAATAATTCTCGACCACAGCATGCACCATTTATAGCAGATTCGACACCTACATTGTGTTCGCCCACATCGTCTTTGTCATGAGAGTAAGCCGAACAGCGACAGTTGAATCTAAAAACTTAACTATACTGGCACGATACAATTCAATTTTTTTTCTCTCAATTTGACATGTGAAAAATCTGCATGACTTTATAATCAGTTATATTTAAGTAATTGTATTATTCGTATCAAAATTTTCAGTTAAATTAAAAGTGTTTAGTGAAACTCCAATGTCATCTACTGTTATTTACGTCGGGCTGCCGGAAGACTCGAAGAGCAGTATCACAAAGTAAGTGCAACAATTAATAGGTAAAAAGGATTTTTTATAACAGGCGTACAGAAAGATTAAGAAAAAATGAGCTGGTTAACAAGTTTTCTTCCTCGAACTTTTGTGGTTCGGGCCAATGACCAGACGAAGTAGACAATTTTTCCTCGAGAACATTTTGAAAACAAATATGAAATAAAACCTTTGATATCTCGTGAGCTACAAAGATGTTTATTACAGTCTACCACAGTAGTAATGGTAAATTTATACTACTACACCTTATAGTACACTCAATGTTTACGTTTAGTGTCTATTTATGAGAAAGAGTGTGTCTAGTTTCAGAATTTATTGCGAACTAAAACTATGTATTAATAAGTGTTGCCGTGGTCCTTATGTGATTTGAAAATTGCCAGATATTCACCATGTTAGAGTATAAGAAAATGAATTTTACGTGAGACCACAAATGAACGTATCGCTCTTGTATAAGGACTAGGTACACGATTTATGGTAGTTTTATTCAGTAATAAAAACAAAGTATTTAAATCGGTTAAATAAAAGGCCGTATTATCGTCCGCAGCGATTTCTACCAGAAACACTGGGGGCTAAAGAACACATGAATTGATAAATAAGGTAGCTGTAGATTATGAAACAATGAAAACAAAATATAACAGATATTTACTCAGAAATATATAATCTGATGTAATAAGGTGAAATATTAAGAAATAAAGTAGTAAATAATGTAATTAACAGTAGAAAGGAATAATCTTCTGCTTTTCTTTTCTCTAGTGTCTGTGCTGTACAAATTTGTGTGATGTTTTTATATCTGAGAATGTCTAAACTCTAAAATGTCTGAATGCCAGAGTAGATAAACATTGAATACATAAGTTATATTCTTGCAACTGTGATAGAAAATCGCATAACACGTATAAAAATATTAATATATCTTCTAACGACATATCAACAACATTAATTTATTCGTATTGTTCATATTACGTGATTATTATCAGTATATCTTATATTATTGTATTTTGTATGGAATATACTAAATGTTTTATGAATGATCCATGACCTACAATTGAATACTTTATCGTATTAAAAGTTCTTTAGGTCAATTTGTGGCACTCACTTTAATGGGGAGAAGTGTCTGAAAAATTACAATCTTTGCAAAAACTTACATATCTACACTACATTCGAAATCAAAGTGTTCAGACTACTGCCGATGCGACCCTAATTTAAGTGGCATTATAGATTCTGCAACTGGTGACACTTGTGTTCTGTCATAGATACTATTCTAGATGTAAACAGTGTATAGTGTACAGTGTACCATAAAAAAATTAAGGACCCAAAACAAATAAATACGTAAATAATGTTTGATGGAGTTGTCTATGGTAATAATTTTTTGACTTAACATAGTCGATATATGTCGAACTCTAAAAGTACACAAATTGAAATCATTAAATATTAATATGCAAAGTTTTATTAACTAAATAATATTGAACCTATAAAAATAATGTCGATTTTATTTACCTATAAATCTTATACATATGTTATCTTAATCCATTAACTCTATTTAAACATGGATTTATACTTTGTTGTTCTAGAATCTAGATCAATCTTTGTGTTGCGACTCCTGTGTAAATTCAGTGAATAAATGTTAGGTCTAATTGAAGGGGTGGGCGGTAGAGATTTATACTTTTGTCTGTAGGCGTCGGTCTCCTTGAATATCTTCATTAAGGAAACAGAAGATTTGTTCGAATCTCGTATTCATCCAGCAGGATCTGATTGACCCACTTATTTCATGTATAATATGTTCAAACCCACAAAATGCGTCATGTTATACGCCTATAATACATATCAAGGCAACCATTTATTAACAAGAATCACGCTATTTTTTCTATAATAATTTTGCTAGTCTTTCTTCTAATTGACGAAATATGTAGAATATATTACTAGCTAGCTTATAGATTAAATTTGAAGAAAGCATAACAGCATTGTTTTATATATTGGCTTGTGTCTTTGATAATTATTCGACTCAGCCATTTGCGTACAATTCAAATAGTGAAATAGTGAAACAATAGAATTGTATCCTTTGGCTCGCGAGAAATTAGCGTTCCAGATATATTGTTTAAGATATCCTATTCGGAATGATATTTTCGACTCGCCGTTGAACATTTCCGCGCATTGATTATCTCGGAAACAATGAATAGTAATGATATAAGTGTGAGTGTAATTTTGTCTGTCTGTTTGTTAAATATTTTGGTTGAACCGATAGTATGAAATGATGATTTTTTTTTGTTGATATACCTATCTTAAATACGCGGTTTAAGATAATAATTATGGCTCGACATATGCTCTTTGCAAAAACTAAT